CGATCGAAATAATATAGGTAAACTAGACATACGTATGACACGCATTGCTGAAACATGTAGTGTGCATGTGACATTGAAGAGACGCATGCGTTGTTGTCCTTATGCTCAGTGGGCGGGGCCTACTTCGATCGGTCTATTACACTTATTCCAGCTACGGTTGTTTGTGTTGCAAGAGAGAATCTAGGCAATATTCGTGACAGACTACAATATTTGTGGCGTGGTCAATTCTGGCTAATTCCATGCTTGAATTCAAGAACCACATTTACGAGCCAATACTTGTGTAGAATCTTGCTTATATTTGCACTGCCTGTTCACCCAGCCAGTCATTGGCCGTGTCACGAACACAGCCCTGTTTGACCTCAGTTTCTTGTCCCGAGGTCGCGCACGCGTGGCCCGAAAGCGTACGCGAGGTTTTACGAGATTTATGCGAGACTACAGAAAAACACGAAAAGTGCCTGGATACATGCACTGTTTGGCCAAGATGACTAAATATGTGAAAAGTTGAAATCGTGTGCTTTATTTTGATACCAAAAATAACTGCTTTTGACAAACATAAAGTGTTGTTACGGCCTGTCGAACAAAATCATATTTTTTATCAACAAAAGCGAGGGCCGATAGTTCTTAAGTGTACATTCGATTCTTAAAAAAGGCCAAAAGACACGGCAAGATTCATTAGATAGAGGAAAGTATACGCTTCATTTTCATGTGAAACACGTGCAGGAGACTTCTAATGTTTGGTCCAAATCGCCGGTTGAAAAATGAAGACATTTGCGAGATTTCATGATTTGCAATCACATGCACGCGTTAACGAACGTAAGTACGCCGACGTACATGTACGTTGGCCTGAAAACATTGTGAATAGCATGTGCGAACGTGCAATCCAGTGGGCGTATGGGGTCACAATCCAGTGGGCGTATGGGGTCACAAGGTCACACCGTGTTTGGGTTCCTCGCTCTATGCATTACAATGGCGACGATCTTTTCGAGTTGTGAAAAATGGAAGTTGTTGGAAACATTAGGTGTACATCGAATTCTTAGAATATTAACGACATCACGTTCACGAAATTTTTTGTAGATGAAGGTTCATGCTTTCCTTTGATTACCTCAACATTTAGGAGACTTTCGTCGTTGTCGAGAAAAACTCGGATATTTCATGACCTAATTTTTAGTCGATTTGTCCGTGAAATAATATCGTCAAAATGCATGGAAATCCTTTTTTTGAGAAAAAAAATACCTTGATGGATGTATGAAGTCTTTAACTACCTAAAACAACTTTGTTTGTTTGGATCGGTTGTGGTTTGCCATGAAAATTGCGAATTTTCTGAAACCCTTTTTACGGCCATCTTTCGCTGGCCTCGCGTTGCTGTCAGTTGTGTGGGCGAGAAAATAGAGCAGCTACGCGTGACAAGGCAGCTGACTGTAGCTACGGTTGCAAGACCTACAATTGACAAAAGGAGAGCCAGTTTGATTTGAAGCGTTACTGATATACTTTTTATTAAATTCTGTAACTCATCAGGTTCAGAACATTTACAGGAGTATCCAGTCTCTAGTCCATTCTATTGCCCGAAAATCATGAAGCTATCATAAACTGTTATTCATAAATATACCTAAGACAGTTTACGCATTCCTATTGGTCGAGAGCCCGTCACGTGGTCGGTCTTAAACGGATGATAAAGACATGGCTAGCTGGTCTTAAACACTTTTCCAGTGTCACATGAAATTTGGACTTCTAAAAATTCAGTGCCTCTTACCGTTTTATTGGTTGAACGTTCACAATCCTCACGTAGGCATGCGCAACACTACCAGCGAGTCAGTATTTCATAGTCCTAAATTCTCAACGCACCGCCCAAGGTGCATTCTGCGCGACATCGCGCAGTACGCGCGACGCGCGCGCCAATCTTCATAAAAGATGTGTTTACATCTTATTCGCGAGCTGGACACTCCATTATTTAGCCAGAGGGGTGTTTAAAAAAAAACATGAAGTGAACTTGTTGAACAAAATCAGGTTTTTTTTTACCGAAATGTTTTGATTTTTCTGACCGAAAAGGTATTTATGAATGGGAATAAATATGTGCTTGGTAGGTATTAATCACTCTGTTTAAGACCGCTTGGAGTCTGAGTGCCGATAATTACCGTCTCCATCGGCTCGGGTAATTATCGGCACCAAAACCACCAAAGCAAACATTTATTCCCTTATGAATAGGTTTCTACGCCAACTTTGCCAAACAGATGCAAAACATTATTTGCTGATGGGAAGAATTGTGTTGATGCATCATTCAGTGTTAGCTTCATCATGTATAAGACATCAGTGAATCTCCTCCGCACTTAACCAACAGCAGCTAGCAATGCTCAACAGTCAATAGAAATGCACAGTCGCAAATGGTTTCACAAATCAGAATATATGGAAAATGTGATTGTTTAAGTGGATTTGTATGTGAGAAACGAGAAGTGAACAGTTCAGTTCGCTGTCATGCCGTGACCACATGTCTGCTAGGCCACGCCTACATGGTCACCCAGATCAAGCACCCGATACAATGCTGCATGGCCTGCTACAAGGATCCCAACTGCCGCTCCTTCAACTTGTCAGGGAAGATGTGCCATCTCAACAATGTCACCATCTCCCAGGTTGATGCTGACAAGTTTGTGGCTACCTTGGAGAGCTGTGCGAACTACAGACTTGACTGACTCTGAACAACTAGAAATTGACAATCTATTGCATTAACAAAGACATCTGCTTTATTTTGGTGAGGATGCGGTTTGTTTGTTTGTTAGAGTATATCGTGATGTCAGCTATTGAAATTGAATTTCGAAACCATAGTATATTCCAGTGTGCTAGATTAGGTCTATTTCCCGTTCTTAGCAAGGATTTAATTGTTAAAACTGGTAACCGAAATTCCCATTGTGGTCGGTCTATCTACAATGAGTTGGATAGCTAGTTTAAGAAATTTCATTGCATGCTAACCATGGCACAAGGGTCGAGGTCGGGCTATCACTACTCTGAAGAGTGGGCCTCCTTTTTAACTTCTGTGGACAGTGAACCTTCCACCAGGGACTCCTAGCGTCCTCCACACAATGGGTGGATTTAAGTACTGCAGTTCACTGGACCAGCAGAAAACCATCGACTGAATTTCATTCATTTGTAGCGAACTACATCAATTTTGTTTAACGTTTGAGTGTGAAATTAATGTTGTAAATATAAATTGGTGGACAATTGAATTTCGTTGGATGAATAGTTTTTAACTGCACACATTTTGTTATTTTTTAGTGTGAGCGTAAAGCAATGTGTAAATAAGACATGTTGAAATCAATCATTTGAAAAATGACTTAGCAAGAAAGAACACGTGCTCGATTTTTCAGAATATTATTATTATTTGCTGTATAAATTTTAAGATTTAAATTTAGCAATTTAGAAAGAAGTGAAGTTAATATAGAAACAGAAGAGTTTGTGAGTTTAGAAAGAATTGAAGTTGGAAAAACAAAAGAGTTTGCAATTTAGAAAGAATGAATTTAATAAAGAGAGAAGAGTTTGTGATTTAGAAAGAAGTGAATTTAATATAGAAACAGAAAGTTTTGTGAGTTTAGACAGAATTGAAGTTGGAAAAACACAAGAGTTTGCAATTTAAAAAGAAGTGAATATTAACAGAAACAGGAAAGTTGTTTGTATCTAGAAAGAAGTGAAATTAATACAAAACCAGAAGACTTGTAATTTGGAATAAAATAAAATAAATATAGAGACAGCTATAAAGTAGTGTTGAAATTTAAGAAAATGGATTTGGAGATTTTATAATTTGATAAGCGAGTTGTGCGATTTTAGGTTAGATTAAGATTATGGAAAAATTGAGGAATTAGAGATGTGACGAATTAAAAATTACATATTTAACGCATTGAAGAATTAGAGATTTGAAAAAGTGACGGATAAGATATTTGACAATTTGAAGGATTGGAAGAATTAGGAATAAATTAGTTGAGATTTTTCAGAGTGTAACTCTAGATTGCAAATAATTGACTGGAGTATACGTGCATCTGTAAAAATCGAATAAGTGCAATCATTGAAATAACTATCTCTTGATGTCATAGCCATTCAATAATTTTTAACTGGCTCTTTTGGTATTTTGATCCATGACCGATGAGCGATTCTTGTAAATGTTGTAACAAGCCGAGCAGGCCGGGGCGTGGCGTGGTGCTACTCATTAAAAGAACAATCACAGAAAACAGACGGTGAGCAAGACAGAATTCAGGGGCGCCTCCCAGATTTTAGTTTGGTAATACACACAATAACGATGTACAAAGATAAACCAAGAGTAAATAAATAAAAGCAGATACATGTACATATAATATTGGGTGACACTTACAAATTATAAGACTAGTGCAGGCGCGAGGCTGGAGGAGAGCACACAGCAAACAGATAAAAAAAGATGGAGAAAGAATGACCAACGCCCAATTCGGGCGATTCACAATGCAGTGCGCCACCAAGAGTTTGCAACGGAGAGTCCGTTTTTCAAGTTTACGGTCGATAAAACATGGCCCATTTGAATGAGTGTCGGTAGACAACTTGAGCTAATATGTCATAGATTGGGGCATAGTGTTCTGCCGCCTTAACAGAAAAACACCATACTGATAACAAGAAAAGAAATGGGCAAACAGATCCTCGAATCATACAAACTAGGCAAACTCTTGGTGGCGCACTGCATTGTGAATCGCCCGAATTGCGCGCACCGGTCTTATATACCCGTAAGGTGCACCCGACCAGACAGGTATCAAAGGAATTTAACATTATGTTTGGAGCGTAACCGCTGCGTTGCACGTGGCGAACTGTCTTTGCTTCTATTTTATTGACCAATTGGATATCCAATTTACAATTTGTATCGTGAATTTGTATATTTGGTGAACTATATTCGACATATTAGCCGGAATACATTTTTAGAACACTATTCTTTTTGACCTCGTCTTTGTTTATCCTCGTGTCTTTGTGCATGGCATGTTCAACCACTTTCAAAACTGTCCGTATAGGAAAAATGAAATTGGAAGTTTTTCAAAAAAACAAACAACAACAAACAACATTACTGTCCACGTTCACTGATGAGATATCCACCTATATTGATAGAAAAAAGTCCAGCCAAGTTGTTTGCTTAATACTACAGTGTGTCATAAATTAATTCTTAGACCGGGATTTCAAAAACCTCAAAAGCTATTCATATAACCTATATTTATCCTTTATGACTATAAACTGACATTGTGTTTTCTCACTGACGCTCACGGTTTTCCACGGTGTAACTCTGGCGTCTTTTTTTGCAACAAAGGTGGCAACACACTCCTACTTTCTCAGTGATAGCCTTCCTAAAGTTTGTATTCATAACGAAATAGATGACAAAGTTACAGAGGCCGCTGGACAGGTGGAGCCAATACAAGAAGAACACCAGATTGGACGGGGAGCGCTGACCGGCTGCCAAGTATCCTAGTCCTACTGCCACGTTCGGCACCCAGCAGATGTAAAACGCCAGTGCCACGGCCCGGACCAGACGGAACATTTTCACCTCCCGTCTTGAAAGCCGTGGCTGCAGAGAATCGCTCTCTGATGATGGTGGTGATGACGGTGGTGACGATGGTGATGATGATGGTGACATCACCATGGCTAGCATCGATTCTCGGTGCTGGGCATTCTGTGACAGAGTCCGATGCACAATGACTGACGTGATGCCGATGATTAGCAAACTTGGGAAGAAGAAAACCAAAAGTCCAGCCAGTGTGTAGAAGAAACGATCACCGTATGCCGGAGTGCAGACCCAGGCATCTTGTGTAAATTGATAATGTGACTGCACCAAGATGAAACCCGCATAAAATGTTACAGGAAGCGCCCAGCAGACAGTTATGGTGCTGATCACAGTATTTCGCTTTGTCACAAGATGGACATATTTGAAGGGATGGGCAACGGCGATGTATCGTTCGATACTCAGCATTATCAACGACAGAGAGGAGGCTAGGGTGAAAACTGCCTCAAAGTAAGCGGTGATTTTGCAGGCGGCGTTCCCATAGGGCCAGACGTGAGTCACCGAGGGGTAAACAGCCGAGGCGGCAACCAGTCCAACGCCAAAGTCGGCTACCGCTAACGACGTCAGGAGGTAACCGTGAGAGTTCCTTAGTGATGGTGTGGACAGTAGTGTCACTAAGATTCCCAGATTTCCCGCCAAAGAAACGACCGCAATAAAACAGACTATAGACACCTGAGAAATGCAGAGGGCACTTGTGCAAGATTCGGAAACATTCCATTGTGAATAAGTGTTCTCCATGTTGGAATACTAGCGAACAAGACGCTATCCCGTGGTTGTTCTTATTCATGTGAGCGTATCGCGCGCACCCCTCGTATTTCAACGTTTTCCGAGCAAGGACAGATCCATGTCCTTTGCAGGGTGTGCATAAAATGTTTACGACTTTTATGACTGCATCGCCATAAAATTTCAGAGTTGAAAGGACAGCAATTCGGCTGCGGTCACCAACGTACCATTCAACTTGGTGCATGTCCCGCCACAGATTGAGATATTTATAACGTATATAGTACACTATACTCCAGTGAAGTAGAGACCAGGGTAGCATGGGGTTATATACCCACACGACACCCAAACGAATGAGGATGGCAACGAGCCCAAACCCACCCTCAGCAATACTTTTCAATCCGAAGACCAAGTCATTTGCTAATATTTAAAGCTACCCTCTTTCCGTTGCGCGTAATAGATCAAGGGCAGGTTGTTGTCATTGTTTGTTAACATGTAACGTTTTCCATTTTTAATTTGTGCAGTGACATCGATACCTCACAATCTGTTAATATAAACATTTATATAAGCACAGAAAGCAAAATACAAACAAGCAAATAAACAAACTTAGAAACAGGCAATGAAAAAATAAATAAATAAAAATCTAAAAAGAAAATATCTCTTTTACAGTACAAATCATTCGTAAGTGAACATACGTGGCACCTTTTTGGAGAGGGAAAGAAAATTTGTAATGAAAATGTGGAATGAAAATTGACCCTATTTCTTACTGGCCTCGCTTGTATATCAATAGATATTTACATATTTAAAAGCTGTTTTAGACCAGCACAAAACAAAATCTGCAGCAGACACATGTAGGACAACCCGCATAATGGTCCGTTTTGTGCAGAAATTCAATGTCATTTTTCCGAGTTGCGTGATTGAATTTATTGCAAAATAGAGCAGTAGTCAAGTAGGCCTACACTGCATTTATGAGCTGCTACACTTATGAAATATACATGAAATATTATCGTTTTTAAGAAGTGACCCTTTAAAAACAGCTGATAAGCTGTATCTTCTAAAACAAAAGAAAGAAACCTGTCATATTTCTGCTATCTGTAACGAGAAGCCCATTTCAACTATGTAATACAGGTGCATAGACACATTTTGTACCTGGAAAGTCATTTGCATCAGTTTTCCACTGAAATATCTATAAACGTACATGTAATTTTAAGCTTTCTAGACCCACATACTTGATCGTCTCGTGTTTCATATCAAATGTTAAATGATTAATGTAGATGGCAGTTTGGGGTGATGTTACACTATTACCATGCCATATATTTCGGCTATGCGCGCATTTTATAATTCATAACTATTTCTGATGGTAACAGATGGTACAGCACTAGGTAATAACGGTTAACTTGCTTTTCATTTTTCAAGTGTTTGATCAAAAATTGGTTCAATGGGACACGTACGTCTGATTTGAAAGAGCAGAAAATAACCATACAAAAGTAGTTTAGGTAGACTGTTGAGCACACTTTGACCTTTTCTAAAGAAATGTGAAATATGAAAGGTCACATAATTATGTAAATATGTATTTACAGATATAAATATTAATTAAGGGAGGTGGACATTTTCGGCACAGTTTGCCCTATTGTATGGATGGGATAAATAGGGAATATGTTAGGTTAAAATGTTTGAGCACAGTTTTACCTTCTCTATGGGAAATATTGCATAAGGTATGAAAAAACAAAAAACAAAAATGTTATGGCACATTTTGACCTTAGCCCGACCAATACTGTATAGTTATGTATCTACATGTTCATGTATATTGCAACTTGTGGCGCAATGCGAACAAAGAGCTGCGTCTGATAACAATATACGGGAGAGGGCGCGTGCTAATTCAGCGCACTAGTATTGTTATCAAGTTCCAATGGTGCCGCGTGAAAGTTGGCAGTGCCGTTGTTCGAGTTGGCAGTGCCTTTGTTCGTCCAGCCAGCAGAGCTCCAGTACAAAGCGTAACAGATTAAAACGTGCAGTCTTTTTTTTACACTCGTGGTAATCTTTAGCTTGCTATGTATACACATGCCTTTGTTCATTGTCCACAGGAATCAGACCTTGAAGAACGTATTATATATCTCTTTACACTTGTTTATTCAATAGATTCCAAGCATAATGTGCGTGTAAACGCGATAAATATCGAAACAAAATATCAAAACAAAATATCAAAACAGAGTCCTCTATTGTATATTACAAAATGGTTTGATATGGGCACAGCTTTAAAACACAAAGATAAACATTATATTTTTTTACACAACGTATTTATAAGCACTCAGTAGCGACCATCGCCCAACTGATAAAGTCACCTCAACAAAATGTACACATGAAAGCAAATTCCAACAAGTCTGTGCCAACGCACACAGTTGTATTTTGCTGCCAAATATGAGTGATATGTGCACTCTAAAAAAGAAGTGTAAATTTATGTTGTGTAAAACTGTTGTGTAAAAAAATTGTGTCATTTCTGCCCAATATTGAGCAAAATGAAAATTTCGCTTGTACCTCCTACTTGTGTCAAATGTGTTTCACATGAAAAGGGTAAAATAGTACCCAACGTTAACTACAAGTCCCAGCAGCACAGGCAAAAAGTTAAAATCATCGTATTATTACCCAAGTGATGGGTTAAGGAAACTGGATTTACCCAACCACTGTGTAACAATTCTTTCATTGTACACGTCCAAGAGTAGAATTTACCAAGACATTAGTTAAATGTTACCACGGTGCGGGGTAAACTGACGCACGTGACAACGTTTACCCAATATTGTGCACGCGTCATCACTCATGTACAAGATGGTCGCCGCTTGTGAGACCTTCAACAATTTGGGGATTTTGATGACGTGATTTCTTTGTTCCCGGTAAGTCAGTGAAATGAATTTCAGTGTTGTTTCCTCCAAATGGGATGCTGATGCATGATGATTAATATCGGGGAGATTGGGGAAGTGACATGCTTATTATTTAGACATTTGTTTGCAACTTGGACGTCACGGCTCTGCCAACCACGATTCCATGCACATGATGCATGCGTTTCATGTACCGTAAAGTGAGTGTTCTCAGATCTAGAAACACGGAGTAAAGTGACCGACGTTTGGGGAATTGTTTTTGAATGAGTTGATTGAGGGAAATTCTAACACCCCTGCCCATCATTAACCCACGCTCCTCGTAATAGTCCTCATGCATCAGCACCATATTTGGGGAAATATGATCTTATTCATTTTACTGACTTTCCAACCCAGGACTCAGTTATTGAAATCCCTCGCGATTGCTGTCTCTAGCATGCAATTCACATTGCAGAGTTCAAAGTTGAATAAAACTGCAAGGGTCAAAAACAAAGGTACACAACGACTAATTTAAAAACAACCCAAGTGATGGGTAAATTTAGAACCCAACAATGCAGGGTAAAAATTAGAACCCAATATATGGGTAAGAAACTGACACAACACTTGGGTAAAAGGAGGGTTGGGTAAAGTTTACCCAATAATTGAGTAAAAAGGGAACATGGTCGTCACATGGGTAAACTTTCTTACCCAACTTTGTTGTGCAAACACGTAACACAATTATGGGTAAAAGTTACACAGAAATGGGTACTTTTCTACACTTTACCTGTTGTGTAAAAAAAAGTACACAAGTTGACGACCATGTTCCCTTTTTACTCTCGAAAAGGTAGTAATTTTACCCAATATTGAGCAACTATTTTTTAGAGTGTGGGTCTATAAGCATTTCCCGAATTTCATATCTAAGGTTATAAATTGTTTTAATGACACTCCTAATTTTCTAAAAAGGGTACATAAAAAAACTATATTAGACGTATTTTGTTGGCATAAACTCGTGAGTTTGTTTGAGCCACTCATTCCAGGAATTTGCTGGGATGCCAGTGGGATGTCGTCGCTCCGTTGGCCGGCCAAAGATGTGCTGGGTGGACAACATCCGTGAATGGTCTGGGTGTGACACCAACGAACTGAAAGCAGCAGCACTGGAAAGACGGGCTGTGGTGGGAGCGGCGCCAGTGATCCCAACTGTGTATAATTTGAGGAGGAGACCACGGGCAAATGCCTATGTCTAACGAATGAATGAGTCAAAGAAAAGAGAGGATTAGACTTGGAGTATGTCCAGTACGTACGCCCATATCTCTGGTATAAATCCCCTTTTTCACCAGCGCGTTTACCACCACCACCCCCCCCCCCCCCAATGTGTAGAGTACTGCCTTTTTTTAACGAGATGCCCATTTTCTTTCAAATAAAAGGCAGATGCCCCATTTGTTTTTTACCAAGCGGCCTTTAACGAAGGCCCCCCCCTTGATTTTCCGGAGGCCAAGTGACCGGAGAAAAGACTCTTATTTCAGAACGGACGGACGAGTGCCCTGTTCACGAACCTTTACCCTCCCTCCCGCAATATTAAAAAATGACATTGCTACGCCACTTGCATTGCGATGTGTCTGGCTTTGCCACAGACACGTACGTCGCGCAATGCAAGTGGCGTAGCAAGGTCATTTTTATATGGGCCAATCATAAAACTAGTAACCCCACTGGCGTGGGACAGTGACACAATCAGATTTGTCCAAAGGCTATACATACTGACCCGATGCCCAAACAAGTTCATTATTATTATTATTATTATTATTTATTCGGCCAAAACATTCAAAATACAAACATGTACATGTACATACAATGTAAGAAATGTCATACATCAAGGACAGTCAAGATGAAAGATAAATTGTGTAACAAATACCAATCGAAAAGAATAGATGTGTATAGGTACAGTAGGTAAGAATGAGATGGGGAAGAAATGGGGGTGGGATGAGGAATGTATAGAAGGGGAGCGGATTGGGGAAGAGTGGAAGTGGGAGGGAGTTCAACAAGCAGAGTAAAGACAATCCAATCTAAGATGGCCAGGATGAACAAAAGTGAAAACACTGTGACTCAAAAGCCTGTTCATCCAATCCTAGGTTGGTAACATAAAATAACTTTAAAATAAATCTATTATATACAAGTAATATGAGAAGTTAAAAATAAATCTGGAAATTAAAAATGCTTTAATAATGGAGGGTAATATATATGAATAAAAAATGGGTAAATAAATATCTGCTAAATATGTAAATGAATTTAAATGAAAATAAAAAAGTAGCATAAATAAAATAATTCAGTAAGAAACACAATAAGTGATAAACAAGTAAGCAATGAAACATACAAACGAGTTGAAAAAAAAAAAACAAAAAAAAAAAAAAAAAAAAAAAAAAAAAAACAAAAAAAACAAAAAAAACAAACAAAAAAAAACATCTTAACAAAGACGAGAACAATCAGATAAAACCATACAGAAAAAACATAACAGATACCCTACACATGCAAACAGACAAGCAAAGTTACGATTATACGAACAGTCTAATACATGTACAAACGTAACACACACACACACACACAAAACATATTAACAAAAAACAAACAAACGACAAACAGCCCAACACCCCAACAAACAAACAAACCAAAAGTTAATAAGAGAACTCTATACGAAAAAAAAAAAAAATTAAATGATTCATGAAGGAAAGAAAACTGACTGGAATAATTTGAAATGAATAATAGTTGAGCAAAGAAATCTGACCGAACCAGGACCCGAACCCGAGACCCCTGGACTACCGTTCCAGCTCTGGAACAGCAATACAGAGGTCCCGGGCCCGAATCCCGACTCGGCCAAACCTCCCCGCTCATCCAATATCCAAAACACAATTTAGATCAAAAGCAACAAGTAGACAAAACATTACAGGCATTTAACCATCAATAAAATGAGCACATAATGCACGATTAAAACACTGAAATGAATCAAGTATCAATGAGTCCTTAACGTGGATTGGGAGATTACTCCATATACGAGGAAAAGCATGAACAGGGGAATTCCTTAAACTTAGGGTTCTGGCGTAATGGTGATTAAATGAAACTGTGTCCAGGTGACGGGTATTGACTACTGTATGGGATGTAATACTGAGACAATCAATGAGGCCAAACAAACATTTAATGGTAAATTGAACAGTGAGTTTGTGTCGTCTAGTTTCAAGGCTTAACCAGTTCAGTGTATGCAGTCTGTCCTCATAGGTCATGGCTCCTCTCTGTTGCTTTAGGATCATCCTAGTGGCTCGTCTTTGCACTCGCTCGAGTTTGGCGGCCAACGAGGCTGTGTATGGGCACCAGGCAGGCAACCCATACTCAAGCACAGGCAGGACTAGGGTTCGGTAGAGTGACAAGAGAGCCTTGGACGATGATCCACCTGCGATATGCCATATGAAGCCCAAAGTTTTGTTAGCTTTAGACACAACAGCATCGACGTGGTCATTCCATGTTAGCTTATTGTTCACGGTTACTCCAAGATACTTGAAGGTAGGGGCAACTGTGAGGGGTTTTCCTTGGAGAGTGTAGTGTGGGAGGACTATTGTTTTCTTTGAACGCGTCATGTGCATTATCTTGGACTTTCCCTGGTTGAGTTTCATTCCATTTGTTATGCTCCAATGGGCAAGAGCATCAAGGTCCGATTGGAAGTTGAGTTCATCTTGGGGCGAAAGAATTGGCCGGTAAATGAGGGTGTCATCTGCAAAAAGCAGACACTTGGAAGAAAGGTTATTAGATATATCGGTGATAAACAGGTTGAATAGCAGAGGGCCGAGCACACTTCCTTGGGGGACGCCGGATGTGACTGGTGACCATGATGAAAAAGAGCCACGATACATAACACGTTGCTGACGCCCAGTCAAAAAAGATTTCAACCACATCCATTGTTGACCTCGTATGTTGAAATTGTGAGCGAGTTTCTCTAGTACCGTGTGATGAGGCATCATGTCAAATGCCTTAGAAAAGTCTAGGCAAGCAATGTCAATTCTAGGTGGGCGTGGCTTGTCAAGGATTGTAGCCCAGTCGTGGATGGCATTAGTTAGCTGTGTCACACACGATTTTCGGGCTGAGAAACCATGTTGTTTATCATTGCCAAGGCAAAAGGAGGACACATGATCATGAATACCATCTGCCACAGCCTTCTCAATCACCTTACACACAACGGAAGTTAGGGCAATTGGACGGTAGTTCGTAATATCAGTTCGGTTGGCGGACTTGAACACAGGTGTGATGTTTGAAAGTTTCCAGTCCATGGGGAGAGCACCCTGTGCAAGTGAGGAATTCATCAAGCGCAACAATGGGGGAGCAATTGATGATGCAGTAGCTCGTAGGATTGTGGGTGAGATTCCATCAGGGCCTGGTGCTTTATGAGGGTTGAGAGTTAGCAGCGATTTGGTCAGAAATCCTAGATTGATTCTTATTGGAGGGAGTTTGGGGATAGGGAGGGAACACGGCGGTGGAGTCGCTGGACAATTGACTGCAGGCGAATGAACTGAAGTGAAAAACTCATTGAAGGCTTCAGCAATATCAGCAGGCTTGTGGATCACCTTGTCGGCTTGACGGAAGGCTGGAGGACACTTGGATTTTCTTTGGTCTCTCACAAAGCACCAGAAACTTCGCTTGTTGTCCGCAGTTGCAAATAGACCATCAACATAGTTAGTGTAGGCTAATTTAGTCGAATTCTTCACCTGATTCCGGGCGTTCTTGTAATCGAGCCATGCGGAACTGGATTTGGAGTATTTCGCTTTATTGAATAGCTTATGCTTTAGGTGAATAAGTTTCTTAAGATCTTGTGATATCCAAGGTGAGATTTTACTACGACGACACTGCTTACGGGGTATGCTGTCATGGATTGCTGCTTCGAAGATGTCCATGAAGCCTTCCCATGATGCATCGGGATTGTCATCGTCCATAAAAGCTGACCATGGAGCCAGATGTAGGAGAGTCTCCAGGTGCGCCATGTCACCTTTTCTGTACTGCAGAAACGAGCGGATAACTGCAGGTTGTGGAGGAGCTTTGATGGCACTAAATAGGAAGGACACTGCGTGATGATCACTACAGACTGGGTTTGCAGCGGACTCCACCGCAGAAAACTTCTCGGGTCGATTGGTGAAGATGAGATCAATAGTAGTTCCTGTAGAGGTGGAGTTGCTTGAGGGTCGGGTCACATCTTCCACTACCTGAGTGAGGCCAATGGAGTCAGTGACATCCCGCAGATTAGCAGTGGAAGTAGTATCAACTTGCCAGTTGATATTGAAGTCACCTAGCAGGATAATGCCTTCATACTGGGGAAGATCCAACTGGACTGCATCACAAGCATCTTGTAAAGATTGCAAGAATGTTGGGCCAGAGTTAGGAGGTCGGTAAACAACCCCTACAATCCATTTGGAGCACTTGACAGTGATGGAAAACCAGACCAGTTCGATGTCTTTATTGTCAAGGTGCTTGAGCTGCAAAGGGAGTAGCATGTCATTGACGAGTGCCATGATGCCACCACCCTGACCGTCACGATCCCGTCGAATAGATGAGTATCCCGTCAAGCAAGAAAGGAAATCGGTGTCATCAGCTGACATCCATGTTTCAGTGATACAGACAATATCTAAGGGGTTGAGTTCCAAATATGATTGTATATCCTGCTGTTTGCTGCGGAGGCTGCGAGCATTGATGAGAATACCGGAAACTGAGTTACTGTGAGTATTCTTGGGAGGTACATGTGGGTCGAGATTAGGGGCAATTCCCAGTGATGCGTCATGGTCCGTTGGGCCACTGTAGATGTCCTGGAATGATGTATCACTACATGACATGAAGGGCAATAGTGGGGTGCAGCCCGGGCAGAACCAGTCAATTGTGCTTGATACGAGTGTCGAGTACTGGGCAATGGACACATCGGGGAGACATTTCTGGTGCCAGTATTTGTTGCAGTCTTCACAGAGGAGGGATCTTTGATTGCATTTTACAGGACGGTTGCATCCACCACAGGGATCCTTGATTGGACCTGGGTTGGGTTCAATGTCTCCAGAGACAGTCAGAGGGAGATTAAATGTAGATGTGGAGTTGGGATAGTAAGCAACTGGGGCTCTACCAAACTTACTGCGTTTTGAAGTGATGATTTTCACTTCAGAGGTCCGCCATCTTAGCTTGGTGTAGCACACTGATGCCAGGGGAGAACAAAGGATGATTGGCTCTACACAGTTGGCACAATGGGTTCGCTCAAGCGTGCACTGAATAGAGCAATTGGCTTGAGTTACTGGCTGAAGATGCTGAAAATCTTGATGAAAATCACTCCAGATTTCACTCACCCTGACTGGAATTTCTTGATGAAAGTGATCAGTTTGATCAGTGATCAATACTCTGTCATGTGGTATATAATTTAACTCACTTTGAGAGCTATGGACAGCAAGACTAAGTACAAAAGTGAGAGCACAGCACAAGGCTTGCATGCTAGTCGCCATGTTGTCTCATGAGGATTGTACAAAGGTCAGTTTCTAACAATCGATACAGACCGCACTGAGTTTCCTGGTTTGTATCGAGTTATACTGTACTGTGTACTACACTAATGCTTTGACGTTTGTTGTGCCCTGAATTGGTGACATTTTTACGCAATGGGGATATGTTCAAGGCGCAGTTCAATGGAGGAGACCACCAAAGAATTCAACTCCAACGGCTGCTTCATCCTACTGATGTCTTTCAGCATCGTTGCGCTGTGGGGAGGTGTGTTAAAGAGTCTGGGAGTGCTTCTTCCCGCGTTGACTGATCAGTTTACCGACCACGTCTGGCTGACCGGAATAGCCATATCGGTCATGGTAGTATCAGTCAACATAGCTGGTAACTAACTTGATGACTATTTTTGGCAAGATGGCACGTACTACTTGTAGTTTCCAAGATCTTTCCCTTATATGTTAATGTATTTACTCACACCTTTCACCTCTGTGCACTGCGCGCATTCAGTGGCCCCGCCTTATTTGCATGCGAAGCGTGGGAGCGCAAGGTATTTTAGGGCGATTTTTAGAAACGCGTTTGTGGTGTTTAGACGGTGGAGCTGATATCCATTGTTTACCTTATTTTGCCTTGATTATATTGACGTATTCTACCGTGACATCATGTGATATTTACCTGTGAATAATGGACAAACCTTCGGGACCTTAGTGAGCTTCGTGAACCTTGTGAACAATGTGAAATTCGTGAACCTTTTGTGATCTTTGTGACTGAACTTTGTAACCGAACTTAGTGAATGCATGTAGGCTCATAGGCGTAGCCAGCGGGGGGGGGGGGGGGGGGGAATGAAGTAATACTTCATTTACCACCCGAATCTTTTGTAAAGACTGCCTTTTTCCATTCAAATGCCCTTTTTTCAACGGGCTTACCCCCAAATATTTTGTGAAGAGTGCCCCTTTTTACGAAGTGCCCATTTTTTTTTAACAAGTGCCTTTTTCAAAAAAGAAGTGGTGCCCTTCTTGTGGCATCTGCCGGTTTTTTTGGTGCCTTTTTTGGGCGCACTCGTTGTGGAGTGTCATGGCCGAGCGGTTAAGAGCACTGAACTCAAGCTCTGGTGTTTAATCAGCAGAGCGTGGGTTTGAGTCCCTGTCTTGACACTTACGGTCCTAAGCAAGACACCTGAACATTATTGCTTCGATCTTCGGATGGGTCGTAAAGCCGTAGGTTCCGTGCGATGTGTGATACACCTGAGAACCCAGTAACATTAGTCGCTACTAGAGAAGGGGTTTGCACCGGCGTTTCTGGCAGTGGCTGCTTAATGCGCCGCAGCACCTTGTAAACTCTTTTAAGGTGCTGCATTGATTCTCATATTTTCAAATACTTCATTTACCTGTCTTTAAAATAGAAATTCCTATTAATATGCGCCCTGAGTACCTAATTGTTGGTAGATACGTGCGCTATTTAAGACTCCGGTATTACTTTTACTATTATCTTTTATTTCCACATGTTTTGCAGGTCTGTTCAGCACTCTCCTTAAAGACAAGTTCGGCAGTCGACGGATGTTAATTCTGAGCACGTTCATGGTTGGCGTGGGATTAGTGCTGGTTCCACTAGCTACGAGTATCAAACACATCGCTGTTATTTTAGCCGTCGTGGTTGGTAAGAACTTGTGCCGACACACCAAATGCTGCTATAGTTAGTAAAACAGCTAATCCAAGGATGCGTGCACGAAAACAATAAAACATCGCGAACATCAGAAAAGTATCAGGTGTTGTATTAAGTTCTGGTATACTCGGGTTCATATTTTTCATACTTTTGGAAGAAAATACTTGTACCAATACTTGTACTCGTTGCAAAGTACAGTACGCGTGAACATGAAAGCTCTTCGTTGGAGATAATTTAAGACCAATGGAATCCAAGACACGATGTAGTGAATATATTTACCATTTTTTCCTTATTGTTAGACCTTTATTTCTTTTTACTCCTATTGCATTTTTCACACCTTGTTTCAGGCCCAGGCTTGGGGATCGGTGTTGTTCTAAGTAAGGCTACTCTGGGACGTTCCTTCAGTAAGCGATATAGTCTGGCCAGTGGAATAAGCCACACGGGACAAGTACTCTCGTTGCTTGCTTTTGCACCAATGATGCAGCTTTTTCTCGATACCTATGGCTGGAGAGGAGCCACCTTGCTTCTTGCCGGGGTTTGCTTTCATCCAGCAGTCTGTGCTATACTTGCCAGAGAAAACAAACCACAGTACGAGCTACCAGTAGATCAACATGACCAGCAGGAACCAAACAGCACCTGTAGGGTCTGCCTCGGATCTTGTTTCACTCGTGCATTGTCAACTGTGGATCTGCGAATACTTCGTCAGTTCAATTTCTGGGTAGTTTTCAGTTGCATATTTGGGATTCGTTTCGTAAATACCGCTTGGTTCCTGTTTTACGTTTCTCATCTTCATTCCAAAGGTTTCTCGCCCCAAGCGTCTGCTGCGATATGCTCGGCTTCGGGCGTTGGCTATTTTTTCGGATGCGTCGTGTTTGCGCCTTTTGTGGATAGAGGCCTCGTGAAGTGTTCTACAGCAGTGATAATAACCAGCCTGGTACTGAGTCTGTCGCTTGTCGTAGATCAATGGTCAAAAGACACACTGAGTGTGACCGTATTGACCGTTTTATACGGTCTGTCCTCATCATCGCTGTTTACCTTATCTGATGTGCTTACCAAGGAACTATTAGGTAGAGACAGACTGACAAGTGCGTTCTCGTGGATTGGATTTTTTGGAATACTGGCAGAATTTCTCGGGGGATTTTTACCAGGTAAGTACACATCTTAATTATATGTGTGACCCTTGGTATTATTAGAGTAAGTAATGGAAAGGAAGAGGATTCGGCGTCTCAGTTCTGATGTGGTGATTTATCCACACACTCACTGAAAGATGAAAATACGGGAAAGGGAAACTCAGTTTAAGACAAGGTTTTCCCTCGGCTCCGGTTAGCATTGGAATCCCACTTAAAATATTTACAAAATTACAGTCTTTTCCGGCCTTCCTGTTTGCCATTCATCCTTGTCATGCATCTTTCAAAGTTCCCATAGGCATAGTCCCTATAGCAAGGATGTGTCCTAAAGAGTGACGTCATTATGACGTTATCATGAGTCGCGTGACGTCATATTAAAGATTTCTATCTTTAATATTTGAAACTCAATATAAAATCAACCGTAAAAGAATGAACTTTTTTTTTTTACGAAAATCGATTAAATAATACAGGATCTTTATTTATCTCACATGAGCCAAATCACGTGACCTTTCCTTCCGGTCCAACTGGAAGTGCGTTATAATTTAAAATTGGAAGATGTGAACTTGCTTTCCACGATGGTAGTCTCTGGCTAGGTTAAACTTCTAAAAAAAAAAAAATTACCGGTGACGTCATAACATGTTAGAGCACCAACTAGTGGCAGCTTGAAAAGTGTTTAGAATGAATAATCAGTTGATGTGTGTGGCGAAGTTTGCTGAAATCACTTCATAATTTATGTATATAAAATTGAGGGGGAGAAAGATTGAAGACGTCACCAGACCGGAAGTTACCATAAAAAACCTTTAAACAATACAAAACTGCTGAAAAATCAACCACGAGTTATATCATCCAGAGTTTTGCTCCAATAGCACAGTTAACATAACTCTCAAGCTTTCTCTGAATGACATCACGATGACGTCATCAAGTATCGGATTAAAAGCAAACAAATATTTTAGATTTATAATCTTTGAAAATCAATATATATTCAACTATGAGAGATCTGATTTAGTATTTGACGGGAATGGACAAAAGATCCAGCGTCGTCACTTTTGATATTACTTGCAAAATCACGTGACCCTTTCTTCCGGTTCAAACCGGAAGTACCTTATAATTTAAAATTGGAAAAAGATGTGAACTTGCTTTCAACGATGTCAGTCGGCAAGGGTGGGCTTTTCAAAATCTGACTAGTGACGTCATGCATTATTTTAGCGCACTCTGGCGGCAGGTGATCATGGGTCTTGTGACGTAGTCTTAAAGGTGCATATTTTGAAAAAAATAATATATCTGAAGAACCATAGATCCGATTCGATTGAAACGTTGTACATGCGTAGTCAGGGACGTGTTATTGATAAAAAAAATCATATTGTTGAAAAGCCCTATGTTCTGTTGCAAACAGACATAGATCTCTCCATTTAACCATTTTGCATGGTTGTTTCATCTGGCACACTATGGGCATTCTGCATTTCACATCACAACGTGGGTTTATAAATAACCACACCAAATGGTGATTGAAAAAGCAATTTTTTTTCTGAGGCGCATTCGTTTCCTGTATCCGCACCGTTTGTTATGGTACCATCCGAACTCCCCCGTTACAAACAGATACATTTTTTTCTTGTAACAACAGAATTGGCTTGGCCTTGATTTATTTATGTTAACATTTTCCTGTTAAGGTTGGATAAAGGACACGACCGGCAGCTATGACATGGCGTTCGTTATCATGGGCATTACACCAGCTGTGGCTGTCATTCCCCTGGTCATTGGAAGAATCACGAAACGGATCTGAGATGGAGAAGGCATTGTAAACAAATTAGTTAACAAATTATCCACTTGAAAAGGCATAATAATTCTGCAAACTGCTTATATATACTGACTAGATTGACGTTAAATATATTAATGAACAAAATGAGAGGGCATAATATTTCGGATCCGAGCATGACCTTTTCCGAAAGACAAAATTACAGTTGTTCACAAACAAACATACAAGCACCCCAACACCCCAACAAACAAACAAACAAACAAACAAACAGGGGGCTGGACGAACCAAAGGAGTGTGGCAGTAGGTAAAGATCAAAGATCCTGCAGCAACAACGGCAAGTCCTGTCAAATGACCCCTTCTATTGCGTCGAGAACCTCCCCAAACCCGACCATTACGAGAAGAGGAAGTGGTCGTTGCAAGTCTCCGCAGCGTACATAGAAAATTAGAAGGAAAGAAGTACCGATTTGTTGCCCGCTAACTACACCAGCTTGCATGCTCCTACCTTTGCTTTTTAACATTGTTATCCAGCCACGATTTTTAATTTTTTGAATTCAATGCCTATTATTTGCTTTGGGAATTCTTAGTTTGATTTCGTGTATTTTGATTTGTTTTCTTTGTCGATCATAGTCATTTCAGCTTTTCCTTACTTGTTTTGGAGATTTAATTTCGTTTTCCGTTCGTTTATTTCATTCATTTTGCCTCATCCATGTTTTTATTAAGTATATTTTTTTCAGCTTCTTTGTCTGTGGCTTTGTCTGTAGCATTGGAATTTCCTTTCGTGGAATGATGCACATGTATTTTGCATTATTTAGTTTTCTGTTTCGAATTTTTATATTAATGTTTGAATCAGTCGATAGTTTTTGTTCACATTTTCCTCCTCATGCTCCATTCGCCTTGCTATGTTTTTTTCTTAAGTATATTTTGTCAGCTGTTTTTGTCTGTGGCTTTGTCTGTAGCATTGGATTTTCCTTTCGTTGATTAGATGTACCTGTATCTTGCATTTATTTTATGTTCGAATTTTTATGTTAATGTTTGCATCAGTCGATAGTTTTCCTCCTCATGTTCCATTTGCCTTGCTAACTATAGCTAACTATAGCTTCCCTTCACTTTATTTATTTGGCTTGAGTTATTTTTTTACTTAAGGCACTTTTTTTATTATTGATAATTTGCCTCTTGTTCTCCTTACATCAATATTGTAACTCCCCCCTTTTTTCTACGTACTTGTACTAGGTAATTAATTGTCTGTATCTGTTGCATTGTTCATGTGTGTATAATGTCACTTGATTTTAATCTTGATGACACGTTTGATAATGATGATAGTCGTGCCTGCCTTAACTTATTTACCGATAGTTTTAATATCGATGAAGACTCTTTTTCTATCTTCTACATGAATTCTAGAAGCCTCTGTTAACATTTCTATGATATCCAAGATTACCTCTCCTGCCTTTCTCATTCATTTTCTGTTCTCGGCTTCACTGAAACTTGGTTCAGAGAAAGCCCTTCTCCGTGTGACCAGTTATGACCTTATTCACTCCTCACGCTCTCATAAACTCGGAGGAGGAGCAGCTTTATTCATCAGCAAGTCTCTGAGATATCATGTGCGTAGTGACATCATGCCTTCTTCGCTTGATTATGAAAGTGTCTTCATCGAAATCGAACGCACTCACTCTCGCAATGTTATTGTGGTTATTATCTACAGGGCCCCTGGTACTCAACTTGATACTTTTCAGCGTAACTTTGACCTTTGTCTCCATACTATTTCTAGAGAGAATAAGTTGTGCTATTTGATGGGTGATTTTAATCTTGATTTTCTCAAATGTGCTGAACATCAGCCCACGGACGACTTTATCAACACCTTCTTCTCTTATGGCCTCCGTCCTATGATTGACCAGCCAACATGCATCACCCCCAAAGCAGCACCCTAATTAGTAACATTCTGACTAACAATGATGCTAGTATCTCAGCAGATATCTTGAATACTGATATTTCTGATCACCTGCCACTTTTTCAAATTACTTCGTCTTTCTTTAGTAACTCCAAGCATTCAACTGAGACCTACTTTTGACGAAACCTCAACGCTGATAGTTTACGTTCCTTCACCTGGATATTGAAGCTGTGGATTGGGGAGAAGTCTACCAATGCCAGCATACAGATACTGCATATAAACAATTGTCTCTCTCTCTTTTCTGATACTTATAACCGGCATTTTCCTCTAGTTTCGCAACACTGTAGCAGGAAGAAAAACAACCAACCTTGGATCACCTCATCTATTGTAAGCTCTTGCAATCGCAAAAACAAGTTATACAGGCGATATCTTCGTAGCCAATCAGAAGCCAATAAACGCCTCTACACCAGTTATTGGAATCGGTTGACTGCTGTCCTCCGTTCTGCTAAGAAAACCTTTTATGCCAAGAAATTTAGAATGTGTAAACACAACATGAAAAACACTTGGCGTGAAATAAACAAGATTCTTGGTAAGGAGAGAAAGGCAGTCATCCCAGAGAACTGCTCTGATGGGAACGAAATGTTCTCCAATCCTGCCGATATCGCCGACTCCTTCAATTCTTACTTTACTAATATCGGCCCATCACTTGCCCATAAAAGCCCCTCGACTAACATGCACTTCATGGATTACCTGCACCAATCTACCACAACTTCTGCTTCTCTTTTTTTTTTTACCAACAGATTCTCTTGAGATAATGGAGATTAGTAATAACCTGTGCGGAAACACCAGTCCAGGATTCGATTGAATTTGCTCATCTAATCTATCCCATCCTTTAGCCTATATCTTCAATCTTTCCCTGTCTACTGGCGCCGTTCCATTAAACCTTAAAGTTGCTAGGATGACGCCTATTTTCAAGAGCGGCGATTCACATAATATCCACAACTATCGTCCTATTTCAGTCCTTCTTGAGAGAATCGTCTACAACGGACTCTCTAAATTTCTTTCCAAAAACAACACCCTCTTTCCTTATCAATTTGGTTTACGTCCCGGTCATTCCACCGATATTCACCTCACTGAATATACCTCTTCTTCTCTCTCTAAAAACAACTGTACACTGCTGGTATCTTCATGGATCTTTCCAAAGCCTTTGACACTATTGACCACAACATTCTCATTTCTAAACTTGATTTCTATGGTGTCAGGGGCTGAGCTCTTGATTGGTTCAAAAGCTACTTAAAGTTCTTGGAGTTCTAGTCAATGATAAATTGACGTGGAATGACCATATCTCTTCTATTACTAAAATCACTTCTAGGCACACTGGTGTTCTCTCCAAACCTTGATCGTTTCTTCCCCCTCTACCTTACTCTCTATGTACAATACTCTCATTCTTCCTTATCTCAACTACTCCAACATTGTCTGGGCGCGCTCTAGTAATAGTCAACTGTATTCTCTTATTAACATCCAAAAACAAGCCTTAGAATCTGCACCCTCTCTTCTCCCAGGGAACATAGTGCACCTCTTTTTGCCCAACTGACTACACTAAATCTCACAGACATTAACAAACTTCAAACGGGAATATTCATGTACCGGTATGTTAACAAACTTCTTCCCCAGATATTTTTATCCTTTTTTCTAGCTGTTCACAACATCGATGGCCATAGCACAAGATCATCTAAGAAACTTTATGTTCCTTTCACTCACACATCATACTCCATCAACACAATTGTGTTGATGGAGTATGATTCCAGACGTGGCCCGTGAAATCGAATTGTGCACAATTCGATTTCACGGGCCACGTCTGGAATGATATCAGTCGGACGGTGAAAACACAGTCGCCTGTGGGCCGCTCTAAGAATTCCTTCAAAGCGGAACTGATTTCCCATTACATAGCATAGCTACTCTCATAAGACATAAGACATAAGAGAACTTTATTAATCTCCAGATGAAGAAATTACAATGCTCGCAAAGCTTATAGAAAGGGAAGTACACTGAATACAAAATACATTAGTTAAAATTTACAGATACCAGATAAAAGCATTGCACGTGAAGGAGAAGCCTGTACCTGCCACCCAGTGTCTAGTCATCAAAAACAACATTTATCTTTTAAAAATGGCGTTGAAGAATTTAACTCTCTCGCCACTGTGCGAATTTCCTCCTCCCGACTGCTGCTTTCTGTTCTTTTCTCGTCTTCTTTTCGCTCCAAGTTAGGCAGGCACACTTCATTTCATTTTCAATCTGCACAAAAATTCGAATCATTGTTCATATTTCGAGTATTTTAAAGCACTTTGATGTGAGGCAGCAGGTCCGCGGAACACAATATGTTTACTTTTGCTGACCCTGGCCAATCTCTGTGTTTGTGATTCTATTGGTCGAATAAATAATAACAATTGAAGGCCTAAAAGTAAGAGCAAGAAGGAGAAAAACTACAGCGGCAGCTTATTAAAGCCCGGTTCATACTCGGCGCGAAAGCGAATCTGTGACGTATTTCAACTCCGGCGAATTTCGCAGCGAATGTTTCATGACGTCAAATTCACTTCGCATTCGCATAAAACATGAACCGGGCTTTAGGATGGTCGAGGAATTTCGCCGTCTAATTTGTTTCTGCTATACCAAGCTGCATCGCGCCAATGGCAAATGTTGACGCTCATCATAAATTGACGCTGTATAAGAACCGAGTGATATCAAAGCTATTTGCCAGGTTGCTTTGTAATGTCCATGACAGCTATTGTTATTGACCCAGCTAAATAGCTCAAACATGCGGTAATTAATATTTCACTTATTCAACATTACTCAAAAGGCATCTCATGCAGGCTTCTATAAAGAAACAAAAATGAATGCTTTGATTTTAAACTGAACTCTTAACCCGTTCAAAACTGTTTTGACAACTTTACAGTTATAATTGTTATTTGTTTTTACCGAAACTGACAGAGATCTATAAGGTTAAATAGCGTACGACACTGGAACACTGTCACAACAGATAGACGATTGTCTGACATTATAATAAGCTACTGTATGAATATGGTTGAGACATGAGAAAGGTGTAGATTAAAAAAAGTACATCAATGTGCAACAATGTTTAATTTAGTATTTGCAAAAACAATGTATTTTTTAAACTTATAATCCTTCATTATTCCCAACCGTCACATATTTCTAAATTTTGACCGCAAAGCCCAGTTTGACTTTCCACTTGCTAAAAATCTGACTTGATGTGTTTGAAATGTTGGTTTTCCTCCTGTCCTCCAAGAGAATCTTTAAGTAACTCCCTGTTTATTCTTTAATAAATAGACTTATGTTTAAGAAAAAACACATAAACTGATCGCTAAAAGTGGTCGTTAAAGATGCTTCATATACAAATGAAAAGAGAAAGCTTAAAATATGAGGAAATACAAGAATCATTACAATTCTATAAACACTTTGCAAAGTTTTCTCAGTCTAACACGATGAAAAAAAGTCCAAAAAAAATCGTTATTCGCGAAGTACGTTAATATATGGTGCATGTTCTTTTGTAGAAACCAACGTTCTTTTCAGATACTCTTTTGTTACTACAAGTTTTTCTTAAATTTGTTCATGCAAAATTAAATTCAATAATTTGATACCACTGCTCTGTGATGTGGACATGTGCGAAAACGATAATTGCTTCGAATTAAGTTTTCTATTTTTTGTTTATGAAAATGTTTTCTTCAATTGTTTCATAGTAGCTGTGCATTTTTTTTTACTTGAGTTCAGATAGTTGAACTTCCAATGTTTCAACTGAGCGTGTCTTTTGGGGTTTTGGTTCAGGTTTGTCCTGCGAATTACTATTGCTAGTAGTTTGCGGTGTGCAAGCCGTGTAAATCGTGTACAGGTACGGATTAAGTGAGGAGTTGATTGGCAGGATAAATACAACAATCCACCCATACATATCAGCTCCTATGTCAATCGTGTTAGTCTGAGAGAGAATCCCCATGATGATCACCGGCATCCAGCAAGCGAAATCCGTACCTACGATCAGCGCCATCTTGACGGCCATTTTGATTTCGCGGTTTCGGTGGGCGCTCTTTCTCACCAGCTTACTCGACCTTTTGACACTGACAAAAATGGCGACGTAGCAACAGAAGACGAGCAAGAAGCAAACCAGATTGACACCGAGAAACAGAACCACAGACAGGATCCAGGCTGGTTTCTTGTCAGTACCAAGATTTAAAGTAAGTTGCTGGCTTCCTAGGGGATTATTGGTGTCTAAATCCTCTTCGATGCTTTCTGACCCGGTCGCTTTGGTAGTGAAAGGCAGTCCTATACAGACATCAGAGAGCCCATAAAAATTGGAATCTGGTGAGACCGAGACGGTAGGAACAACGCTCAAGCAAACAGCCACAAACCAAAGCAAACCGACCACAATTTTCGTCGATCTTTCTCGGAGGTGGATACCACGACTGAATGGAAACACAATGCACAGGAAGCAATCGATGCTGATGAGTGTCACGAAAAACACTGACGCCTCACTGGACAAGACCGATATCACTCCTGCTATCTTACACACCACAGTGGATCGCCACACGCTAGCATTACGGAAGTACGTCTCGCCATAATAAAGATCAGCAGCTGCTATCATTAGCATATACACACCCATCATGAAATCCGAAATTGCCAGATTCAACACCATAAATGAATGCGTCTTCTTACCTCCTCTACCACCTGCGCCTTTTATCCTCCAAATAATGACCACTACATTACCTAAGAGGGCGCTCAACCCCAATATCCACAATGCCACGCGCAACACGTTGTTCTGCAAAAGACTTCCGCATAGGTTCAGTGGTGGTTGCAACTCGGTAGTACGGCAGTTTCCCTCGACCAAGAAATTTGGTAACACGGCAAAATCACAGCACAATCGGTAGTCGTCAACGTAACTGCCAAGCAAAAACATGTCAACCAAATACACTCAACCAAAAAAGAAAGTTCCCCCTTCCAATACTTTTTTGTCTAACTCACAACTACTGGGCATCTCTCGCTCAAATAACGACACATCCGTTCAGAAATTCCTTAGCAGTCTAGCCATACTCTTTATTTGGCTCAAAACAGTGATAATGTGTACGTAAATATGCAATTTATGGCAAAGGCTACGATAAACAGTTGCACTTTTGTACACGTGCAAGTTGTGGTTAACACTCACCTTGCACGTATACAAACGTGCAATTTTTTCGGTAGCATTTGTCATCAATTGCATAATTTTGAACATACTGTCACTGTTTTGGGCCAAACAAAGAGTACAGCTGGACTGCTAAGGAATTTTTGTACTGAATAGTCGTAATTTGAGCAAGATGTGCGCAGTAGTTTTCGAGTTAGACAATTAAAAACGTATCGGGGGACTTTCTTTTTTGGTTTAGTGTATTTGAATACTGATCAAATTTTTCGTAAACATCTCAACTTTCTATAAACGCTCTTATTATGCAAGGCTTACCAAAAATGTTTTTGAAACAGTGGCTTAGGAGGTTACGATGTGTGGTCAAAATTACATTCAAGTTCTAGAATAATGAACATAATTATATCTTTGACAAAAAAATGATCATGTATGATCACGTCCGTATAATGTACATGCACATCCACAGGACAAATTATACAATCTGTCCTCCTCCACGCTGGTGAAATGTAGGACTGTTTTACTCACAGAGTTTGCAGAGACTGTAAGCCATCAACTGCTCCCACTTCAACCTCGATAACTTCGTTATGTTTGGTGATTATCGCACTGAAATTGGACACCAAAAGTGAGTTTCTTGCTCTAGTGGTCTTGCTTCAGTGGTTTGAGTTTTTACCGGCTTTTGAGATAAGTTAAGCAATGCTAGAATTTCGTTATTATCGGTCTAATCACGTCAGATCTCGTCAGTGGCGGATCTACGCAAGGAGGAAGGGGCAAGATGCTCTAAACCCCCTCTAGGAAAAGTATACAAATATGAGCCCACGCCCGATACCTCCCGCTTGAACTTTCTTCTGAACTACTCCACACTAGGCTCTAATTTATATAGAAAACACGTTCTGGGATGTCTCTGGACCCGTTAACCTTTGCGTTCGGGTCAATACAATTTCATTGAATAAAACAAATCACTACAATTGCAGTTTTAAAATTATAAATACAAAAAAGTCAATTTCCCCTGACAAAAACAATAATGCACTGTACCATATCTAAAACGTCAAAATTGACTGAGTATAAGTTGCCAAGTACGTGAATTGAGTAAAAGCCCCCCAATGTAAACGTGCATTCTGAGCCATGTTATTACTTGGGTCAATATTGGTCAAGTGACCAATTGGCTGTTAAGAGTATGCCAGGGGGAGAGGAAGGACATCGTGACCATCTGTGACGTTTTAAGCAGCAGGAGGGAATTAAAAACAAATATTGTGTCACATGATTAGGTTCCAGAAATGATTTAAAAAAAAATCTAATTGGTGCAATGCTGGGATAATATCTAGTAAGTGTATAAAGGTCTTGCATACTGTAGTACTAGACTAAAATCTGGTGGGGTAAGCACTCACTACAAGCAGGGAGGGGGAGGGGTGGGGACAGTTGCCGAACACCCCCTTGACCCCAAATGCTCACGTTGTTAATACAATGTATGTATTAAATTACCAGTTTCTTTTTAATTCTCTGTTTCCTTTTTCCCTTTGGCATGCTTGTTGCTTCTTCTTCTTTCTTTCTTTTTTTTTGGGGGGGGGGGTGGCAGGGTTTACCCCATTACCCGCTCCCCTTTCGACGCCCGTGACTATACTAACAGATCATTAACAGGTTGTTTTGCGTGTCCCAAAGTTCACTAAGAATCGATTATAGCGATCTAGGTTAGCTTAAAAAGCAAACTATGCGTTTCGAAAGGAACATTAGAGTCAAACGTAATATCGTTGTGACGAAGACAGGAAAATGATTCACTTACATAGTGTTGAGATTGGATAGTCCCGAGAAAGCTCCCACAGAAATATAACTGATGGGAACATTCACCATAATCCTGTTGGGGGAAAAAACAGGAAAGGTTACTTCATCCTCAATTGCTCTGATTCGGTGAATGTGCAGGACAACTGACACAGAAACAGCCTACGATAAGACGACTCACACTAATTAATTGAGGGTTGACGCGATACATCAAACGTCCACTTCACTTAGAGCAAGGTAACCGTCTCTTACGCTCGGTGAAACAGATAACATTAATGTTAAGATAAGAGTCACTTACAATGTTTCCAGTAGTCTGATTCCCTCGAAGGTGTTTCGCTGAATTGATGTTATGTTGTTGTCCGATAAATCCCTGTTAATTTACAATACCAAACTTAATTGACGCGTTGTATGGTGATAATTTAAATGTTGATCAAACAAATTCACTGCAGCGGTGTCAGAAGCAGGTTTCTTTGTAAGTTTTGTAATAAAAGCCGTATCCTGTCTGGGGATCAAGAATCAGGGGCGGATCCAGGAATTTTTGCGGGGGGGGGGGGGGGTTCAGGCCCTCACTGATTTTTGTACAGCAGGACAGGCGGACATATAGGTACTGCATCACGTTATTACCATTCAGCAACCCATACTCGAGGACCATCGGGTCTAAGTAAATACGTCTGGGAGCTAGACAGGCCTAAGCCAATGTAAAACACTCTCGGATGGACGTCCGTGCCCGCCTATACTAAAGGTATATACAGCACTGTGTTTTAACGCTACATCACTACAGGACAACGATATGTTTTGCTATAAATAGGTGATAATGCTTTAAAAAGCTTCGGCACTCTAAGTTCACTACTCACAGGAATGTGATGTTTAACCCATCAAATGCTCGATATTCAATCGTCTTGATGTTGTTGTTTGCGAGGGACCTGCAATGAAGAACGTGTTGTGTTAAAGAGGGAGGAGGCAACCGACGGAGTCTTTAGGTAGCCCTCAGTGTCCCTCGGAAATTTTGAGCCGACAAGCATGACTGTTTTAGATTTTTCTCTCTGTCCACTTTAATAGGTTCAATTAAATTTTTTTAATAATTTTTCCATTTCTTTACCCGTTACATTTGCCTTGCTCCATGTCTTTTCACTTTGTAGTGTTTGGACTCTTGTGTTTTGATATCAATGTTTATCTGTCTCGAATATCCACGACTGACCAAAGTTCATAAAATCATCCGACCATGCACAAATTCATGACTTTTGAGATATTTATATCCCAATGTACCTCCGGAGGCAGGGGAACAATCTGCACAGACAGGGCAGTAATGAGTATAGTACGTGACAGACACGCCCAATCCCATAGTCCACTGTGAGTGTCCTTTAAGGCTTTGTCCGTAAAATACAACGCCTATTTCATTTAGTGTACATTTACATAATTGCAGCTGTAAAAAATGCGGAAATCTTGTACAGTGTAGATTGGAATCGCCTGAATTATTATTTTTGTTTCGTGGGGTTTGAGGTTTGATGGAAATGGTTATCTAATTGTTGCCGGTATCATAGAGCGTGCGTTTATCCGTGTGTATTAAAAATATTTTATATACTTAAGTTAACTTAAGTATATAAAATGGCTTAAGTCCTTCAGGGAAAAGCATTTTAATTTTGTTTTCTGATATCATGGAGGTAAATGGAAGTAAAGGGAAAATGCATAATGAAAAAGGACACTTCTTGCAATGAACAAGTTGACATTATCACTACTCACAGCGCTTGCAGACGTGGAAGTCCCTTGAAACTGCCTGACTCGAGTGCAATGATGTTACCATTTATAAGTTCACTGTGAAATAAATGACAACAGAACACAGAACTAAGGACTTTTCTCTCCCTTGAGTTGTAGTGCAAAATGTCAAAACTAAATTCTATAGTCAATTACAGGACATCCAATCTACTGCTGGGCGACAATTGTTGAAATAAAATGTGATCATGATCATGTGTTTGGTCATATATCCCCCAAAATAGTTATAAATAATTCAGAGAAAATAAAACACACCCCCTTTTTAGTGAAAATCTTTGAAAGTATAAACACACAGAATTGAAAACTTAATCAAAACGTGTATCTTACAGCGCTTCTGTCACTTTCGCTGTGTTGCTGATGCTATCACGAGTCCAACCTTGCTTACACCGAGTTTGGAGTTTATTGTTGACATAGTTGCACTTACAACCATCGGGGCACCTCTTGGTATCTATGAGAAATTCACGTAATTTCTTAAGTCAAGCTGACGGCACACAACTGTCAAGTACGGCAGCGTCAGCCGATTTCACGAAACGTTATGGCGTAACTCTATTTTGAGACACAATACAGGGTGTAGTGAGTAAAAAACGCGGAACCGACCCCCGTCCCAAAGTGTCATATTTTAAAAAAAAATCTTTAGCAACAAATATTAATCATGGCTGCAAAGCCAATTTCATAAACTACTCTAAGATGAACAAAATGCTGAAATTGATCAATTTTTTCAATGTGAAATATATTTTCTGGGGTTTCGGTTCCGCTTTTTTCCCCACTCACCCTGCATACTGCGTACGTTGCGCAACATTTCACGCCGCGCAACGTTTATAGTTGGCCATGTCCGAATAATTGGCTACAACTGGTAATTACACACGCGCCTATGGAATGATCTGTGAGTTAGTTTCACCAGTATCTAAGTTATTGGGAAGAGACCACACGACTCACGAAAGTATTATGCACATTAGTGCCTATACTCCGAAGGTTTCCACTCTTTGAAGCTTCTCCGATTTGAAGAATAGAGTCCTAAAAATTCCTGGACAAATTTGACCCGGGTTTCCGAGGTCAAAACAACCTCTTATGGAACACTTTAACAACTTGTTTTTGGGTGAAACTGAACAAGTTAATGATCAAGAGGATTGTGTTTTTGACCTTCAAAAGTGTCATGTTGACCCTGAATAGTATACGATCAAACAATAATATTGATTCCGGTTGAAATCTGACCTCTGACCCTGAACATTGTAGACTTACCACATTCCGTCTCGTCGTCTCCGAAATCACAGTCGGTGGTGCCGTCACATACTTCCTCCCAGTAGATACACTTGCTGGAGGCATTGCACGCGTAAAAATCCGGGCAGTGGATATTGTCTGCCACAGGAAAAGGGGAAAATTAACACTGGAAAGGGTGCACTGCTGTCTTAGATCAACCATTTCGATGAAAACATCTTTGTTAAATTTTTAACTATTTTTTACTTACCGCAACGCTCTTCATCGTTTCCGTGGAGGCAATCCGTAAATCCGTTGCATCTTGCTTGTGGACTAACGCACGACCCGTCTTCACAGTCAAAAAGACTATCGTTATGCATATTACACGAAACAAACTCTACACAAAACGAGATAGAAACATAGTAATTAGGCGAACCTATAAGTCAAAATTGTCCATGCTATTGGCGAAGTCAACTAAACTTTACTCTTCAAATCAAACCTCCAAAGCATGCTTGATTAAAAAGCGCCCTGCGTTCCGAGTAATGTTTACATAGAGCAGTACCCTGGCGACAGCGTCCGTTTACCTACCATTCGACGAAAAGTTGCCTTGAAGTGAGAAAAGAAATCCCCTCTTTTCCAAGTTAGGATCCGTAGAGAAACTAAGAAGAATCGACGAGGAGTTGAAGACGATGGAGCGAACTTTCGTATTGCCATGCATAGTAAACGTTGAGGGCGAGATTGCATAAAAAGTGTGGCCTTCGAATGTGACAATATCATATTTGGGCTCGGTGTCGAAGTCCACGATTTCAACCATAATACGGTGACTCTGCACTGCAATAATTGTCCACGTGCAGTAGAGATTAGGTAGGTAACTAGCGCTTGGGTAATTAATCGAAGAAAACTCCTCTGGTATCGAATTCACTTGGATGATTTCCTCACCGCAGTAATCTAAAGGTGCAAGAATACATTTAGTCTTTAATTATTATCTTCCAATAGTTAACAAAGTCGGAAACCATTATGTCCCCAACATACATCACCTGGAAATTCGGTTGGTAATCCTTTTTCTGCCAAGGCCGACTTTTCTTGCTAAGCAATGTTTTTGCGCTTACCAGCTCCATGAAATTTGCCCCAGAATGCTGTAGGCTTGAATGCTGCAGTGCTCGAATGCTGCAGTGCTCGAACGCTACAGTGCTCAAATGCTGCAGTGCTCAAATGCTGCAGTGCTTGAATGCTTCAGTGCTCGAATGATGTGCTCAAATGCTGTAGTGCTCGAATGCTGCAGTGCTCAAATGCTGCAGTTCTCCAATGCAGCATCTTAAACGCCTTCAAGAAAGTTGTCCAAAATTTTGATTAAAAGGGCACGGGTGACAATTCAACACTTTTACCATTGAAACGAAGCATGGACATGTGGGTTGAAATGCAACTCCGCTATTACCATTAAATGTTTGGAAACGATAAAAAAACAACTCACTCTTAGGGCATCGCAGGGCTTCAGTGTTTTGTGGTACACATACAAACTCCTGGTAATCGCACTGTATCTCACCCTCTCCGCATGAAACTGAAGACAAAAAAAAAAAACACCAACATAATCTTGTATGTTGTTTTGCAATGTCTGTGGTTTTTCCACAGAGCGTGTATCTCGGAAATCTTTACAATAGTATAATCATCAAAAGTTTGTTAGTTTAAATACTTCAATCTCAAAACTAATTGTCTTTGAAATTACATTTTCAAATCACGTCATTGACCATCAAACACCCGTTTGTATAGGCTCAGTACTGATCGACGGGAGCTACGAACCTAAAGATGACTATCACATGGGCCAGAAGCTGCGCCGATTGGCACTTATATATAATCGTTTAAGAAAAAAGACACATTTTATTTTGCAACGGCAATATTTTGTTTAATGGCTTACTTTGATCATTGGGTCTTTGTTCGATTTGGAGTGAAAATCCTTTCCTCTCATCGACGTAGTTGGAAAAGAAATGCAGAGATAATTCCTTGCCACGCGACGCTATTCTGCTAGGGGCATTCGACCTGTTTATAATTGTGTTTAATTAATGTAAGTAGATGTGTACATGCACCGGCTGCGAAATCATAGTTCTATTAAAAATTCGAAAAGTAACAACATCATATTTAACTTAGCAGTATACGTTCACAGCAATGCATATTTTATTGTAGTATGTCTTAAAGCAAATAATATACATGTACTAAGTATGCGCGGCTCCGTGTATTGTTTATAGTTGCGATTTCTTGTAAACATCTCAATAATACGCAATACATGCCTGCAAAAGTGTGAGGGTATACGATGTTATGAATTTTAAAAGGGTTTATTTTAATTTCACTGTTCATCTATTATACAAAGACAGGTTTCTCCACCTCTTACCCGGTTATAGTAAAGCCCTGAGAAAACGTGATTTTATTCGACCACCTGAGATAATCATATCCACTCGAGGTTTCGAACTCAAGGAATATGACCAGGATTCTGTGTTCCTCAGGAGCCAGCGCAACCCAGTAGCATTTCAGGTATGGTAGGTAGTTCCCTGGCCACCCGGGCGAGGTCAGATTGGCGAAGCCTAGCGTCATGTTGATAAGGCTGTCACCGCAAGGACCTGTATTTAAAGAGACGATGCTCATCGCTATACGTCGGACAGACAACGCTTCACTCTCGTTTTTTTCCCTGCATAACATTGTAAGTATTTTCTTTCAAAATTCCTTGAAAACACTGCGGTGTTGTGTATGAAGTAAAGACAGGGATTGTTTTTTCTCAGTTCTCGGCGTTTTTATCAATGAAAATAAGGTTTCAAGAAAAGTTATACATAATTGTTCTTCAGTCTCGAAAACAGTGAGGAATTCAAGAGAGATACAAACCACAAGTAACTCTAATAAAGAATTGTTTTAACTTTTTCTGTATACGGCTTCCATAAAAATATCGCTCTTAAGCTTCACTCTTTTACTGTGGTTTTTCACTATATAAGGGCCCACCCTTAAAGAGTATAATTTCCATGATCTTCAGGTCTCCGGCCCAACTCTTCTACGAAAAGGGGCGTTGATTGTTCAAAAGGTGGATACGTATACCTACAAACCTTGAATCAAGGAGTTGAATTCGTGGATAAAAATGGAAGTCAATACTCAAATATGATGCTTTTACTCTGTCGACTTTTTGAATATTTATTACAGAAAAAAAAGAAGATTTACCGCAATTGAACTCATCCGATTTATCCTGGCAATGTGCGGCTCCATCACAAATATCCGACCTAGCCACGCACGCATTCTCCCCTGCACACGTTAAATACTCCCCAGAACATTCTTCTACAAAAAAACAGCCATGATCTTATTAATTAAGGAGCATACTCTTCAGTTTTCGAATAACTTTGATATTCAAACGTTACTTGAAAATTGTGGGCAGTCTTCAACCAAAGAGAGGGGGCGGGCGGGGAAGTGTAACTGTTCTCCACCCCCTTTTAGACATCAAGACATTTATTCGACATTGTTTTTTTTTTACATATTACATAAATTTATTTCATTTATTTTATAAATGTATTTGTTTGTTTTTAAAACAAGAAATTAATGTACTTGAACAATATTAGGTACAGGATAAAGCATAGTTTTTGTTCCTTATCCTATGGACAGACAATTATATGTGACGAATTGGGACAAAACACAAGACCAAACAAGTTTAGAACAAAACAAGCAGTGATAGATATCTAGCAAAGGTTATAAGCGTTAAGCAACTGCTTTTATTTTTACATAAAGTTGAATACGGTTTAATCGGGTCACTACATGTATAACAGAAGTCAGCAACCCGATGAACAAGGCTGTTTTTTGTTAACATTGAAGGTCTATTAGAACAAACGTAAACTGTTTTCGTTGAAACACTTCTAGTATTGTATAAATAAATATATTCCAAGACGATCCCTTACAAGACGATAAGAAAGCTATATGTTGGCCGAAGCTCTCAAGAACCACCTCAAGAAAACGAGTCCCTTACATGCCCAGTCACATTGGACCTCAGAAACGCTATTGGTTGTACATGTATACGGCCCCTTTTACGACTACCAAAATTTGAAGGACATCACCATCAGGAATCATGGTTATGATTCCTTAAGGAGGGGGTATTAATGTTGCCCCTTTTACCAAGGTGTCTTGTTTGGAGAACGGTCTCCGAGTATAACATTCCTTAAAAGCAATTTCAAAAATCGGGTCCCTCAAAATTAGTCTAAGTGTTTTACTTACCACACCCCATTTCGTCCTCGTACTCAGGGCAGTCTGGCCAGCCATCGCAGACAGCGGATTGGTCGATACAAGTTCTCCCAGAAGGACATTTATACTCGTCACTTTGGCACACTGTCAAATCAAAATACACACAGTTTCATGTAATTCGTAACCATATAATTGGCTATGGTATCATTTACATAGGTATACAGGGTAAGCAACAAAAGAAACCCAAACGGTGCCCCCTATTCTTTTTTACAAAAATCTTCATAGCGCGTTCAAGATCAAGGCTTATGAAAGCCTAATTGATAAGCTTTCTTTTGGTTAAAGAATCACTCAAATCACTCAGGTACATTAGCAGCTATGGAGTGTTACACACAAACATATTTTTTTTAACCTTGTGCACGGATCACAATAAGGTCAGTGATATTTCAGCAAAATTATTACATTTTATACAAGAAAGCACATAAGAACAATGCGGCGTCGCATCCCTTATTGTTCTCCCATTGCGTCTACTTTAATGTATCTGGTGGTTTAAAGCATACACAAATATGATATAAAGGGTGTCCCCAAAAAGGTAACCCACAGAAAAAAGGACAATATAATCTACATATGACCGCAATTATGGTTGTATCATAAACAAGGGGCAGTTAGCTTTCCGTTGGTATTTTGGATGCATTCCTCTGGTCATGCGTCACTGAGTTCCATAGTTTAGAAATGGTGTGCAAAAACCTTCCTTGGACAGTTTAGAGTAAAACTAAAAGAGCACCTCCAGACAAGTGGGTTGAAAGGGACATTTAACTTAATGAAAACATGAACAAAACATAATCATTCAGGATTCAACACCTTACTTGTATCATATTTCACGTCTGCCCTTTCAACACAAAGCAATGGTGCATATATCACCCATGTCATTTTGCATTAGTGTACATGTACCTTAATAACATTTATGTTTTCCTGTCCCTACCCTTCTATTCCTTCCTATATGCCCTTTCAAGGTGGTTATTTTTTAAAGCTTTGTTTAATTTTAATTTCTTTACTTATGTAACTACTCTGCAATTCCGCTGCTGGTGACGATAGATACAATGATAAACAATTAACCATAAATATTAATGTCGCCATTGCAGGTTGATCCGGGAAATTGTCCACCTCCTGCCAAAAACAGGCCTGCAAATCCTACAGGCTGGAGTGTAAACTGCTGAAAAATATTTGTTCATTAAATACCATTCAGCAAGATTTAGTACGATTACAGAATCCTTAAAAGGTCCCGAAGGCGATTCTCGAGTGACAGCAGTGAGTATGCAAGCATGGGCATCGTCTTAATTGTGCCCACCAACCAATAATGTTGGAAGATAGTAGTATGTGAGAGGCAAATCATGCCTCGTTGAGGAGGAGGAAGAGGGCGTTTGTGAGGAGGAGTGAGTTGAGGATCTGTGTAGAAGAGGAAGAGGGAATTTGTGAGGAGGAGGACTTTGCGGATCAAGTTGTCGATCTGTTAGGATTAAGTTGCTGATCAAATTCTCTTTATAGATAAAATGAAAGCAAAAAAGATTGAATAAACACGGTGGCGCTGACGTCATTTATCCTTTATGACGTCATAGACAAGTAACATTGGCCACGAGTGAATGAGCAGCGAAATGAGTAAAATGAGTAAAATGAGCAACGAAATGAATAAATGAGTACAAATACCAGAGGTCAGAGATTGACCTTTAAAGATTCAACACGAATGTTTTTCCTGTGGTGAAACCCCATGCTTGTCACCAGTGTGACAACAGGTTTGGACGGAGAGAAACAAAACGTTTACATGCTGAAGCGGAATCTAAATTGAATGAATATGACGATGATCTTGAAACTAAAACTATTCAATCTGAATTTTCCTTCTCACAGATAGTCAACTCACTACGCTTCCTCACAAACTCTCTCTCCCTCCTCCTCCTTCCCACAAACTCCCTCCTCCTCCCTCCTCCTCCTTGAGGCATGATTTGCCCCCCACATACTACTGAAGATACATGAACGATTCCCTTGATGATCGAAATGCAACTCGCACTATTCGGCACAAGGTCATGATGGAAATTCTGGTTTCTTCATGCGTTCTTAATATCCCTTGTCGTCTGGTTATGTTCCCAATGTTTTACCCAAAACAATTCAAAGAAGGTTTCTACGCACCAATTACGCAATAATGGATGCTTGACCAAAAACATGCATCGAGGGTATCATTGGAAAACTTGCTGCACCTAGTTTATGATACAAATCGCAATCGTGGTCATTAACTTTATGGCCTATTCATAAACCTTTGATTGTGGATTGCCTTGGGACATCCCGGACGTACAAACACTGCGTGCTACAAAAGCGAATTAAAGGCAACATTAAGCTTGCACTTACCAATATCCACAAACTGCGTCAGTGTAAATGTAAGAGTGTAGCCAGCGTAGAATGAACGACCGCCATTTTTTATCCACAGTGAGGGGCCACTTGAGGTTATATATCTGAGGAATGCTGAAATCGAGAATCTTAACAACTCGGCCAGTACCGTACACTGACTCTGGCTACTGTCTCTGACGAACTCGCCATAGTTGCCGTCGCAGAAAGTGGTATCGGAATCCGTGCGTGTAAGCACCGTGACCATAATCCGCGTGAAGGGCTGCGCAGTCACAGTCCACAAACAGTCGTAATAGCCATCTCTGTCCTTCGTTGTGAAAAAGCGACTAACTGAAGCCTCCAATACAATATTTGGCTCTCCACAATAGCCTGTGATTCAAACATGAATTAAACATTTCGATGATCGATCGCTGGATAAATTCAGAACTGCTGAATTTCGAAGATGAATGAAGGGAGTGATGAGGGTGCAGATTCAGGACTTTAGTATTTTTCTTTAATCGCAAAATAACTTCACTTGAATGACTTGAACTCTTCAACTGTGTGTGAATTCTCTGTACTGAGAGGTAAATTTGCCCATAGTTTTGATTTTAGTCGGGCGCTGCGCAGATTAGGAAATACTCACGGGCTCGGATCGGGGGGGGGGGGCGCTCTGACAACCCCCAATCAAAAAATAGAAACAATCTTATAGTGAAAGTTCCCTCGCTGTCTGTCTGTTTGTCTGTCTGATGTCCGATGCTTGTGTGTCACGTATAGCAGGTGATAATTGCAAAAGTAGGCTCTCTGTAGCTGATATGCTTGAGGGGATAATGAATACTTTGGGACTTATCAGATGCAAATGTTTCCCAATAGTTGTCTGTCGGCATGACATTACAGCGCCCATTGTCTGTTACAAATCGTTTACCACAGAATATCTAGGCTTTCGTTCACGCAAGATGTTTTCAAATCTTAAGTTTGAATATTCTTTGCACTTAAAACCTTTATAAACCTTCAAACGATAAAAACGTTACGACTCCATCCAGCTATAGTGGGTGCCGCGGCATCCCGCTAGTTATAGTAATAATAACAAAGATGGAATTCTGCAGGGGTTGTTATCTGTACCTGACGGGCCTGCCCCCCCCCCCCGCAAAAAATCCTGGATCCGCCCCTTGTTCATTGAGTTTCCAATGCATATGGCGGTCTGTGCATTTATATGTTGCTGGCCCTCCCAATGGGGCTTTCGAAAGAAGTCACAAAGTGCCCTCCACTGTTCACAAACGGAATCAATGTTGTGCCATTTTGAGACATCATGGTCAAATACGCTGATAGTGACTATGTGCACACAAGCTGCAAAAAAGATACATCAGGAAAACACTACAGTTGACATGTTAACTTACTGCACATGAATTCATCATTCAGCTTCTGACAGTCAGAGTTCTGATTGCACACTTTATCGACAGGTATGCATTCTCCTTTTGAGCAAGCGAATTCATCTTCCGGACAGCTTGCTAATGGAGGAAAATTATAAATAAGATTGATCATTAACTTTGATATCAACCTTAAATCATTGTAAATAACTCCTGGCATTTGATTTCAGACCATCCATTACAAAAATAGCATTACGTAGTCTGCCTTTTTTTTCGTCGAATACATTCAGGTTTTAGTATTGATATATTTACTAATTTCTTCTTTATACTGGGTGGGTCTTTCAGCCATTTTATCAGAACTGATCTCCCATTGGTCCCAATAGGGGTAACAGTACAATTTCACACGTTAACTCTTAAACTACAATCTTAAATCCGATTTAAGAGCCTCGTTTCTAGCAAAAAGCCCTTGTAAAAGTGTAATTGCAGTGTAAAAGCTTTGTCGTAGGTGTCCTTTGAATCTTCTTTGTTATCATTATTAGCATGTGACTCACCTGTGCTTTTATGATTTTTTTTATATTAAACGTTTATTACTTACTGCAGTTGAGTTCATCTGTATAAAGTGAACACTCGTGAATCTCGTTGCAGACCGAAGACTGGTCCAGACACTTAGTTCCTGAATGACATACGAACTGATCGTCTTCACACTCTGAAGGAAATTTGGAAACAAAGTCATGTTTATTTCCATATAGCACTTTGTTCTCTCGAAAATGTGACTAATCGGGGTTTGTAAAGCGCTTGTGAAAAAAGGCTTTTTATTGGAAAAGGGCAGTATATACCAATGTTTCTCTTCTTTTTGTGGGGGGGGGAGGGGTTAAATACCCCCTCCCCCTTCCGCTGGCAACGCCTATGCTTTGTGTTTCCTTACCGATACTTGTATAACTTTGAAGTGTAAACTGCAACTTGTAAGATGCCCATTCATAAGTCTGCCAATCAGTTGCTACCCACAAGGCTGAACCCGAGGAAAACCTTGTCTTAGGCAACGACAAAGTCCCTTCGGACAAAATGGGTACGCCCGCACTTGGATCGTGGCCGTTACCGATGCGTAGATTGGTTCCTTGAAAATGGGCAACATTGATCTCTATTCGAGTCCGAATTGACGAGGAAACCTTCCACACGCACTCGCTGAGGTTGGATGTAGTGTTAGCAATAACCAGGGGGATATCTTGGTTATGGTGTACGTAGACTGTTACAATTTGCTGTCCCGCTTTATTCCCGTAGGCAACTTCGACTGTTACCACTTCGTCACTTGTGGTAAGATTCAGATTAGTCTCTCCGCAAAAACCTGAATTGGGACGATAACAAGAAATTGCAAATCGAATTACTGACCACTCGAAGCGTTTACCACTTGAAAAAAAAAACGGTCATGGGTTAAAAGAGCACAACCATTTGTCTGTAACCGAGTGAAGTCCATTTTCCACGGAAATTCGTCCCGTTCTCACATTTTATTTTTTTTGGATTGTCAAGGATCAAACTTGATTCCTGAAGTAGCCTAGCGAATGTTTATCACAAAACATATCTGGACTAAACCTACTGAACATTCACCTCGTGAAATTAGTCCTTCTGGCTAGCTGTCAATGAGAAGAATTCAAGAAATGTAGGAGATTTCCAACGATAAGTCAATTGCCTTATAGTTGAAATATAAAGAAATACTAAAGAATATTATATATTATGGTGTTTCGTGATCATACATGTTGTGCCTGGTTTTTCATTGTTTTCCCGAAAGGTGTAAAATATGCTTAGCTGAAACTTTAACATTCCTCTGGATTTTGAGTGGCGTTATTATTTAAAACGAATAAATAAAATGCATGAAAATCAAAAGATTTATATTATTATAAGCAAAATAGGGGTATTATAATTTACCGCAATCCACCTCATCTGAGTAGTCGGGCACATCTGCTCTACCGTCACATCGTAAAGTGCCTGACACGCACTTGGAACCAGTCTGATAGCTCTGGTCATCACAAGAACCTTGCGAAAAGAAATCAAATCGATTTAAGGGTCGTTTACGGGGTGGTTCAAATTAAAAACTGACAATAACGTATATGTTAATCGTGAAAGTGTCACAGGGTATCGCTGCTACTACCTTCTGTGAATGTAATTTTGAATTGTACAGGGCGAGTAAAAAATCGAAGCCCAAATGTTGGGACCATTGTTTTAGTGATGTTCTACATGTAGCACTTTCAAAATCTAGGATATAAAAGACCCATTCATAAGCTTTCTTTTAGTACAAGAATCATTCAAATCACTCTGGTACTTTTTAAGTTATGGACTTTTTTTAATATAGTTTTCTGTCTCGCGAGGCCGTCAGGCAAATATCTCGCCTGCTTGATTTTGTTTCGCCTCGCGAGGCAAAAAAAAACCTTGCCTTTTGCGGGCAACCTAATATACGTGCCGAGCTTAACAAAAAATAAGTAGCAATTTAATGAAAGCACATTATTCTTGTTGGTTGATCGCGTGATTTCAAAATTGGGAATAACTATCCCAAATATTTCAAAATCACGTGTATAGAGTACCACAGTTCTTTCAATCACTGCATGATTGTTTAATGAAGCTGTATATCAGTCAGAAAAACCACTCACCTTTAACTTCCCCAGCAGAAAGCTTAACTTCCATGTCCAATTTGTATAATGTAGACGCCACCATCCACATTTCATTTCCGTCCAAGAGATATAGGGTTCCAGCAACTTGTCTGTCTGTTTCGTTAGCGATCAGTGAGGTCTGGGAGTACACTTTGTGCCCATTACCTAAGGTTATGTAGCTCTGAGATTCGATTTCCATCATAAGAACCTCCACAGTGAGGTACGTGTTGAGGTCACTGGTAATTTGCCACGCGCAGATGAACTCACGACCTTTTCTGGAAATTGCAGTGAGAAAGGCGGAGGTATTGACATTGACTAGACGCTGACCACACGTGGAATCTGTTACAACCCAAAAACAAAACATACATATCACTCTTCAGAGTTAAGTTATGGAGAGAAGACTCCATTAAAATATTGGATTGAGTTGCATAATCCTAAAAAGAGTGCGCAGGAACCAACTCGACAGCGTAATGTTGCGACAGCTGTAGTTGCTAAAGAACATGACTGGCCCTTGAATCGGTCAATGAGAATAATTGTGCCATGCGCCAGTCATGCTAAACTGGTTAGATATGCGTGCGTTTTTACCAAAGTTCTCCTCCTATTCTGTCTGAAAAAAATCTCAACTTCTAGAAATCCTCCTGGAAACCTCAATGTATCAAAATGGAACACCTGCTGCACTCGTTGTAAAACAAAAAGATGTCAACTTTGGATAAAGACATATCACTGAGGTATTGAATTTTCTTCGAATAACACCTCACATAATATGTTTTAGTTGTTCTGCCACCTTTTCAAATATCCATAACCATTTAAACTCATGTACTCAGATACGTCCTGACGAGAACTTTGTTCAAATTAATCTCACCGAAGATGCAGCTTTCAGATGTTAACACATGTACATGTATTTTGATTTTTTCATTTTCAACTTACAGCAATCCCATTCATCTTCGTGGCCGGCGCAATCGGGGAAAACGTCACATATCTGCTGTATTCCCACACACATGTCCTGGTGACCACATGAAACCTGGTCTTCATCACACGTAACTGTAGGCATGGAAATTACATGAGGTTCATACTAAAAAAAATCGATTCAGCAGTCTACTTGATGGCTAATATGGAGGCAACGGCAAGGTAATACTGAAGCCCTTATGGTGTAAGGCACCTATTTTATGGACCGAAAATGGGAGACGTCTTTCAAAACACAGAGATGTGCGCTTCCAACTGGACGTGAGGGGTAATCGAGTAGTGTGCTTTGTCTAACTGAGAAAGTTGGTGACGACGTGCACGGATCTGCATAAACGGCTTGGGGGTTTCATACACGATACGGCTAAAATTGCGACCGTAAGCTCCAGGGTTGTTTATGGTTTTAATGGGGATAAAATGACACCCAAAAGTTAATATAATATATTCGGAAAATCAGATATGACGAAGGTCGGAATTGAAACGGAAATTCACGTCCGTTTGGTACATTACATACTGATCTTGGAACGAAGCATAATGTTTGGGGAAATGAATTATTGTAAAGGCTACTTACATTCACAAAACATCAGTCTTGGAGTTGAACCAAGTTACTTTTACCATCTTGAGCAAAATCTACCAAATAATCTTTTTTTCCCCAGTAGTAATCTTTGTCCTTTTCGCCCAGGAATTTACTTACAGCATCCCAACTCGTCAGAATAATCGTCGCAGTCGCGTACAGAATCACAATGTAGGTCGGCAGCTACGCACTGAACTCCAGACGAACAAGCAAATTCGGTTGTGGTGTTGCATTGCACTGCAAATTAAACACAAGTCATGGTGAGGACAATATTATTGGATTTGATGTGGGCATCATTGACATACCACAAAATGTTGCATTCTGAGAGTAGATAACCCATACCATTGTTACAGCTTTGCCCCTTTGGCCTGCTGAAAGGGTGACATTTGACTGGTGGGATGTGGAATATGACGTTTTGAACAACCAAGGGGTGCATAGCACACGAGGCAAAGCCGAGGGTGCTATGCACCCCGAGGGTGTTCAAAACGTCATATCCCACACCACACCAGTCAACAATTGTTTTGTTACACCTATGTCTTGGATTTTTTGGATTTTTTTTGGATTTTGATGTAAAAATCACGAAAACAAACAGCAGTAAACACAACAATTCTCAAGTACATGAGAAATATGAGTACCATTATGCAGCACCTGTATATGGTTTACAAGTTACATTTCTCTGACTACATGTATGGAGTACCGAAGTAACGCGTGTCCCGCGCACAAAATGTGTGTAAAAGACATAAGCTCGTGATTCAGCCCGTGAACCAGCACTCGCGCGAGCTCCATTCGTTTGCACTACACTTTCTTTTTCTAAATGACGTCACACTTCGGTACTCAATAGCATAGACCTATATCATTCTGCATTTCGGTACTCCTTAGCATAGACCTATATCATTCCGAGAACACTATAATTATACGCCCAATGAGGCCTAGCTTTAATGACAAAAGCAAGTTCAGTTGCAAATTTATAGCATATATTCTAATGCTTTCGCCACCTGGGGCCTCGGTTACAGTGAAAGCGTGCACTCGGAATGGTATTTCTGTAGGGAATAAAATTGGGCTTCAGATTGGGTTAGATTACTCACCTACTTCATTTAACTGTGTCAATTCAAAGGTGAATACATTCACTGATGAAAAAGGGACCGTGGATGAAATCCAGGCCCTATCCGATTGCACTGTAAAGCCTCTGCGAATGGTCCCTCTTTTTGTCTTGTTTACGATTGTCGAGCTCAGATTACTTGGGTCGTGGCCGGATCCTACGAAGATGGTTGCCGTGTCAGAGAGTGTAAAATTGGTGACGCGGACGTTGATGAGATTGCCAGAAGAAGCATGGACAAACCACACACATGCTTTTTGTATGGATTTTGGGGTGCGCGGTGACGTCAGCTGGTAGACACCACCGCCAGATAGATCGACAGGTGGACCACATATAGCTATCACAAGGAAACCAACAGGAAGGCAAAGTCATTTAAGCATAATTAAAAAATGTTAACCCAGTCGAGACCGTGGGGCCATTATGTAACCCAATCGAGACCGTGGGGCCATTATGTGCCAGGGCCAGAAGCGTAAAATCTGTGCCGGCGAATGAGTGGAGGGTGGGGGGGGGGGAGGTGGGTGTTTCTCCACTTTTCAGTGCTATTGAATACATTTTGTTCGTTGGGATGTTCGACAAGTACCTCTGGTTCAGCATTTTTCTCTCATCACGGGAAAGTGTGGGGGATATATAAACCCCATGCCCCTGGAATTTACGCCCCTGCGCGCAGCTGCACCCCCTTCAAAACATTTTGTAAGTTCTGGGACGCTTTAGCCCATAGACAAGAATGTCATGGCATTCCCAAACTTGGTTTTGACGACGGTGGTGGGATGGGGCGATGGGGGCGGGGGGGGGGGGGGGGGTTGCACGCCCCATACAAAAAAATGACACCCCCCCCCCCGCGTCCAGTGGAATTTAGTTAGTCCTGTAATTTCATACTAAACACGGTCAACATGAAATTGGGCGCCACCACTGGAACACCCAGCAGAATCAAGAGCAGAATCAAGAGCAGCGACCAATTTATATGTATCACGAGTTCGTCACCAACCAATCAGTGCAGAATAAATATCTCTGGATGAATACGTACCACAGTTGAGCTCGTCATACAGATTTGGGCAATTCGGCCTGCCGTCACAAAGATAGCTTTGGCTCTCGCATGACGATAACTCTCCAGCCGCCGAACATCGAAACTCGTTTGTAGAACATCCCACTTGACATATTCAACAAATGAAGAAATATAAGACGGCGTTTTTACCGTGTTTCATTAACCGTTCCAGTGGGAAGTCAATGTTCAGAGTAATATGGTAAAAAGGTGGCGTTGCAAGGTCATTGTTATTGGGGAGGGGGAGGCGAAAATTCTTGAAAGGGCACTTACACATCTGTGCAATAATTGTGGCTACGTCAAAAAGTTTTCTTACCAATAATTTTAGGAATTCTCTTGAACTTGTTCAAGTCCCACGTTCTGCAACCCTTCACCTACTTTTGTTGCAATTTACGGACACCTCGTCCGCCCGCCCCCCCCCCGTTTTTTGTTTTCCGTGCTAAATATCACAATGTAATTGTTGTTAACATGATTGTCCATAAAGTTTTAATTAGGTTATTGTGCCAGTAGGTAAATTTGTGAATTTGAAGTTTATCAATACCGACTTTAGGGTATAATGGCAGCCATTTTGATCTTTTTTTTACGTCCTCATAATCACTCAGTCTCTGATATGCTTTTGGTGACGATATGTAAGTAGAGTCCTCAAAATATAATTTTCAAAAAATAAAACAAAATAAAAAATATACAAAAATATGGGAATAAATATATTGCACGGCATGTTTTAACGATATACGCAAATTAGGCACCCTTCCCAAAGAGAGTTTCAGGTGTTACCCCTTCTAAATATCTTCTCCAGGGCAATAAGAATCAAATGCCAAGTTTGGTGCTTTGGACCAGTCGGTCACGATCTTGTCAAAAATTGGGTTTAAGCCACTTGACTAATATAGCTGTCACGACATTAAAACAGCACTGTGGAGAGCAGTGAATGAAACGTGACTGAATCTGCCTGAGCTTTACCAAGCAAATTATTGTGCAGGGATTGGAATTGTTCACATCCATAATCCACAGAAGTTTATCTCAAAGGAATTTAACTCTCCTGTACTAGCTGTATGGACGAAAGTGGTTTTGCACGTCTCCCTTTGAGTGGCGGGGCTACGTTTCACAATATTGAGGGTGATGGCAAACCAATTTCAAAGATACACGACTTTAGTCCAAACCCTTGTCAACGTTTGTTTGAATTCGGCGAAGCAGTCGAAGTGGTATATAAAAAAACACCCAAAATCATGATTGAATTTTTCATTTTGTTTGTCACGTGGACTGCAGTTTGAGAAAACAAAAATAATTGAGTATAAATTAACTATGACTATAAATTGCCTGCTACAGGTAAATTGTTGTTTTCCATCTTTTTGGTCCCTACTTATCAATTTTGAAAATTGTGGCTCCACCCAAACAGAAAACAATTCTTGAACAATCGTTCATCATGATGAAGAACTCGGGTCCGCTAAATAATATAGTTCTAGGTCGCTTAATCAGCACCCCCCCCCCCAAGATTTGAAAAAAAGCACGCTCCGTCCCAATAAAAGAGTCAGAACGATAGTTGAGATATTCATAGGTGTTCCAGTGATGTTCAAAGATTATACCCAAAATGCATCGGCTTGGCGATGCGTGTATAGCAAGCCGATTTAGAGTAGGTGTTTAAGTGATTAATTGTTTTTACCACATCCTATTTCATCTGCTTTGCTTTCACAATCTGGGAATCCATCGCATCTCTTGCTGATCGGAATACAGACATTATCGGGTTCACAGCTGAATTCCGTCCCATCCTCACACGACACTAAGTAAATAATTGAAAAATGTTACCTATTAAAATACAGAAATTAATGACAGAGTGTTTCATGGTACTGACAGTCAGACAATGTTTTATTTTATAAACTTTATAGCACGAAAGTTGCTCTTGCTTGCTTTTAGCCTGCGCTAAGCTTTTAAACAAACTGATAATGAAATATGTTAGGCGTTGATATATTTACCTTCAACTTCGGGCTCAAGCCGGAGAAGAAAGAGAGAGTTGCTTTGGAAGTTGGACTTCGAAAATGTGATTCGGACCTCCGAGCTGCGAATCACCGTGCTAGGTTGCTGTATTTCTCTAAAGTTCGCAGCTGTCTGCGAACCCACAATGAAATTCAACTGAAACTCATCAATGAACACGTGTGTCGTTGGAACCAGGAAGTGAATCCGGATAACTTGGTCGCTACTGGCTTGCACTGTCCAGGAACAGTTGGCACTTGTGAATTGTAGGCTGGTTGGATCTCCTCTCAGCAGACCGCCTGGATACTTGATGTCGTGAGACGAGTTGCTCGCCGAAAGAATGATCGGGTAATCGTCGTCGCAGTAATCTGCCATGCACACGAGTAATTAATGTAGTCCTTAGCACTAAAAGTAACAAGTCTTACTGACTGACTGCGACTTGTGACCAGATGCATGAATAGAGTCTATTTTGTGCGATCCACAATGCAGTGCGCCACCAAGAGTTTACCACGAAGAGTTCAATTTCCCAGGTGCTTTGTGGGAGATGGTCGACACAGTCGCAGCACGGACATTTGAAATTGTTAGTTTTTCCAGTCAGTAGTTTCGTAAACGTTTGATTCGTATGATTTTCCCTTTTCTTTTATTCTAACCAATATGATATAGGCCTATTTTGTAGGCCTAAGGCACCAGAACGCTAAGTCCTAATCTATAACAAATTATCTCCAGTAGTCTATACTGACACTCGCTCAAATTGACCGTGTTTTCGACCGTAAACTTGAAAATTGACTCTCCAAACATTTACTCTTGGTGGCGCTTTGCATTGTGAATCGCCCGAATTAAATAGAATTTCATTTCCGTGAGCTCCGGGACCAGTTTTAACAGGCCAGCCTTGTCTTGTTGCCATTTATTTGTGTATTGTCGTTGTCATGGTGAAGTTTTTTCCCCACCTGCCTTGATTGGCAACTCTGTGACAAATGACACCACAAAAACCACAATTGAAAAGAGACACAATTCTCTAAATAGACTCTTTCAAAAAAATTGGTCACTGCTCAGTCAACCGTGAATGTAATGACATGATCACTGTCATTTGTTTCCAGATTTTTTCCCTACCGCCTACTTCTGAGAGAAACATTATGTGAGAACCATAGACATAAAAAGGGACGCCCTTACCCATCGTTGTTTTCAGAGTTCTTGTTTGTGTCCAGGCTAATTAAAAATCGGAACGATCTGAACTGACCATGCAAATTTGCAATTTCACTTTTTTAAGTGTCCATGGCATAATAGGCCTAGTATACCATACCAAAAACATGGCCCACTTTATTGAAATACCTCACAAAAAATTTGCACTGCGAAAAAAACTTACAAATTCGTGCCCCCGCAATAATACTCACTACAATCATGTTCATCAGACGGTGATGTACAGTCCAGATGCCCATCACATACGATGGTAGAATCATAGCATGTGATTAATGGCCCATCGTCGCACTCAAACTCGTCATATTCACATGTAACTGTAACAATTCAAAAAGGACAAACTGTGACTTAGATTAGATTGTATTAACTTTCATTATAATTATTATTAATTTCATTTTATGGTCATTCAGTTTGACGTTTTCAAGGAAAGACAATTGGGTTCAGAATAAACAAACTTGCTTGAATTTCCGTTGTAAGTCAGGAAAAAGTCTATTCTCACCGTCGAAATTCATGTAATTTTGATCAATTTTCTGAAGGTCGAACGTAAAGTTTGCGTCTGCGTTCTCATTGAACAGGGCTGCGGTGATGATGAAAATACACGGGGTGCGAACGTAGACGCTTCTGGGAACTACAAAGCCATCGTGATAAGTTGGTGTGGGATTCCCGAGTATTGTCTTAAAGCCGAAACGCGTGAAGAACTGGTCAATAGAAGATGGCAACGTGGTCTTGAGGAGGCTGCAGCACAGCGTCGGCACGGCCCAGCAGCTAGTGTTATTGCTGACTTGTCCACTCATCAATTCTGAATACGGCCCCACTTCTTCAGAAACTCTGACAGGGTTACTGTGGCCCACATATACGTCTTTGCATTCCCCTTCATCTGAAACATGGACATGATACAATTTTTGTCACTTTAATTGGATGATAAAACGGGTTGGTAAAATATCGATGTAATTATTGATAGCGAAGGCCTATTGCTGATCAATAGAGGAGGCTGCAGCACAGCGTCGGCACGGCCCAGCAGCTAGTTTTATTGCTGACTTGTCCACTCATCAATTCTGAATACGGCCCCACTTCTTCAGAAACTCTGACTGGGTTACTGTGGCCCACATATACGTCTTTGCATTCCCCTTCATCTGAAACATGGATATGATACAATTTTTGTCACTTTAATTGGATGATAAAACGGGTTGGTAAAATATCGATGTAATTATTGATAGCGAAGGCCTATTGCTGATCAAAAAATTAGAGTCGCATGATATTTCATCTTTAGCAAGGACTTCTTCAGAGGCAAATAACAGAGGAACAAGAAACAAAAATTAAGGAACACAAGCATGCAGGGATGAAGGAGAAACACATGATGGACTTAAGGGGGGGGGGTGTGAAAGACCGGTATGGATGAAGATGAAAGGGGATAAGGAAACAAAGGAGTGTGGTTGGAAAGGAACATAATGGGTTACTAGGAAGGAATGAAGCAGGGGGAACAAAGGTGAGTAGTAATGAATGTGGCGTTAGTGTAAATTGGGGAAGGGTGTAATAATAAGGACCCGGGGGGGGGTTGGGTTGGGGGGGGGGGGGAAACAGGTCGTCACTGACACCACAAAGTAACACCCAAGTCCACTTCAGTGTTCCGTGAAAAACCGAGTAATGACAAATTGTGGTGTCACACTCAAGAAATACTCAAGTGTGCACGCGCACTTCGGACACTGGCGAGAACGATTTCGTTTTCGCAAAGTTACAACAGTGTTACGGATATACTATTTGGATAAAACGTTTAACAGGAATGTATTTACTCCGTATTCGTGTAGGATTACAGATTTTAATTAAAAAAAAACCTTGAAATTGGTGATATAAAGATGAGTGGTACTTTGTGAAAACAAAACTGACCGAGTCAGCGCACAGTGTACATGAGTGTTACTTCGTGAAAACGAAACTCACTCGGTTCTGTAAAATGCGCGCACTAAACTTCCATTTGGGTGTCGGTCAAAGATATAGAATAAAAAGACTAAATCGGCTGTGCGTACAGACGCGCGTTCTGCCATGGGCAGCGCCATTTTGTAGCGCGTGGGGCAAAATATTGCGTTACGCGCACCTTTTTTCCGTAGGTTTGTATGGAAAGATGTATTTTCATGTCCGTAAATGTAATATTTTTGACCTGTATTAGTTATTTCACCAACAAAATTCAAAATTGGTTATCAAGCTGCATGTTAATTTCGAAGTTTGGTCCATTTTATTTCTTGTAATTATTTCCCATTTTAAAATGCTGGCGCGCGTTGCTTAAGAAAAACATTGCATCCAGTTGTTTGAGTGCTATTTTCTTCATCAACAAACAGAAGAATTATCATTTTGAACGTCTTATTTCCGTTTTCGTCTTATTTCTTATTACACCCAGAACATTATTGTTCTACATTGTCCCTCCTCAGGGTATAACATACGCCGTGTAATTTTGTTCTGTTGGATACTGGGGGGAAATGCACGCCCCGCCCCAGCCCTTCACTAAAATTAAAATAAAATAAAAAAATAAAATAGCATAAATAAATTTGTGTTATTTTGCCCTGCACCTCTTGTGGCGTATCCAGCATCTGACAATCTTCAAGAAGGCGCAAGAGTCTCACAATGTTGAACAAAACGGGTACTAAACGTAAAGCACAATGTAAATAATCTTGAAGAGTTAATTAGGTTATTTAGAAGTCCGCAACATTACGTGTGTAACATTAAGTGTAAGTTCATTTCATTCTTAAAACGGTTCTCAGGGGCAATACTATTGCCATTAAAAGTTACACATATACAATACAATTCAAGTAAATTGTTCTCATCCCAAAAAGGATATCACAAATCTCTACAATCATCTGTTGAAACATTTCATAATTTCCTTAACTAGTTCAGCGGTAGTTTTAAGCAGTTTTTACATTCTACTTTTTCCTTTTCATGTTAAAAACAATGTCTTTACTTTGTCATTTTATCAGATAAGCTGATTTTATTGGGAAATTTATGGCAACGCGCACCACCATTTTGAAACGAAATAAATACGAGGGGAAAATGGAGCAAACTTCGTGGTGACTAGCCAGCTTGAAAATGCATATTGAGTTTTGTTGGATACATAATAACTACTGGTGAAAAATGTTACTTTTACGGACATAAAAATGCGAGATTGTGCACAAACCTACGGGAATGTAGGTGCGTGTAACGCACGTTTTGCCCCACGCACACTACTGCGCGTAGAGCGTCCATGCGGGAACGGGAAAATGTGTGCACAGTCTATGGCGCGTATGCACGATCTAGTACCATGAATGATGCATGTCAACATGGAAAAAGAAATGGATCACCTGTATAAAATGAATAAATGAAATGGCATAGCTATTCATATGAACTGAAGTTTTGCATTAATGTGACATTATCAAGTGAAAGGTGTAAGATCCTCTATTTTGGATGTCTGTGGGCTTCGTGGTGTCGCTGACGATGAGGGCAATGATATAAATGTGAATGGGGGAGGAGGGGGTAATAATAGAGGGTGGGGGACAGGTGGATATGAGGATAAGGGTGAAATTTAAAGAGGGTGGCATAGTGGTGTTAGTGTTTGATAAAATAGAGGATCCGCCAGCATAGTAGCTCAGAAACGGCAGTCCGGAGGTCGCGGATTCAAGCACCACTCTAGTCATTTCTTTGTTCTACTTTTAAAAATTAATATATTGCATCTAGTCAGTTTTCCAATGGGGTTTTCACCAACCGTCGTAAGTCGGGGCAGTTGCAGCAGACTGAGCGATCTGACAACAGAATGTAGATATAACCTGGGCTGGATCATTTTCACAACCTGGAAGCCGTGCACGTGGTAAAAAAAAGTTGATGCAGATCAAGCCAGTTTGCGGCCACAACCCGACCATGGTTTTCAATTCCTTTTTAAAAACAAATATAGTTGAACTTACAATTGAAACAATATCCATCAGTGAAACAGATGCAAGTTGTATTTTCCCGGATGCAGAAAGATCCATAGTTACTAGTACAGAGATGGTCACCATTTCTACATACAGCTATGAAAATAATCAGAAAAAAAAACGGCTCAAAAATGATTTTGAAAATGGACTCAGCTCGAAAAGGCACGGAGGCATGCTTGAGCCAACGTATATTATTCGCAATAATTCTCAGACAAAATGACGCCGCACTTGGTGGGGGCGGGCACTTTTCGGGGCCAATTGACATTTGCCACAGTTTCCTAGTCAATATGATCCTGAAAATGATCCTAAAGAATGGTCACCCGGAGAAGTTTCACGTTGATCCGTAATAGTGGTTTCAGGTGCAATAGAACCCATAAACATGAATTGCACAGTCAGTGATCTCAGTTTAACAAGTTCGATCATTTTCTCCTATAACGAAGTTTGACCTTTGACAGTTTTACTCTAACGAAATCAAAACATTGTTTTTCTGTTTGGGCTTATGCAACACTCTGAAAATCAAAAGCTTTCATTTTGGTTTGCGTTTGCATAGAAACAGACAGTGGCGCGCACCCACGATTAAGCTTTTTTGGGGGGGGGGGAGAGAGCTCACATTTTTTTTTTTTTTTGGTAGAAGTTAAAAAAAAAAAAAAAAAAGGTTGCCAAAAATTCTCGGCCGCAGACTATTTGACATTTGTGGCGCCACTTACACCCCTATTATACTACTCAAAAAATAAGCCACATAAATATCACCGTGGTCGAATCGTCGGACTAAAAAAAAAAAAAAACCTATTGGGGGGGGTCAAGCCCCCCGAGCGCCCCCCCCCCCTCGGGTGTGCCACTGGAAATAGATTTGCTTTGCAAATAGATGCATGTTTCCCTCCCATTTTATAGCATAAGGGATCAGGAACAATTTTACCCTTTGATGAGTAAGGACTGATTTATTTTGTGGGGCCGCAAAAAGGCCGAACTGGCATAAAGTAATTTTTCCAGAATTGAAGTTAGACCAATTTGTCAGTCAATATCTCATTCCAAATTGAATACAATTCAATATGGAACATTGGGAAAAAATAGGTATTAAAAAACAATAACCATTTTTGGATGAAACTCGAGAATCGCATGGACTGGTACATCTTTAATCTACAGCGTTTACCCCGAGGTAACGAATTGTAAAATAGTGATGGCACTTGCGCAGTTGGAATACGGAACTCTATACTTCACACATTTACTCACGTGCTCCGACGTAAGATTCAAACGTATACTGGACTTGGACTGTCACTGAGTATAGCCTGGACTGAACTGCAAGCATCTTCGTCGGGGAGAAGACCTCTATTCTTTCGAGGCAGAAAGTCTCGAAGAAATCCAAGCCCTCGAAAGAAAAGAGATTCCAGTTTTGGTCGCAATCAGCAGTGCTTGATGTCATTGTTGCCTTGATGTTCTCCCCATGGCTCGCGGTGGCATTCCAGCAAATCGTATTTGAGTTGGCGACAGGGCGGGTCACTCTGACTTGCTGATCAGATGAGTTAATCTGCACAGGATGACACTTCACTGTAAAAAGAAATCAGTGGATAAGAACAGCCACAACGTAAATATATTACTAGAATCGATGAGACGCACATGCGTGTATACCGGATTTCTTCATTATACACTAACAAAAATTCAGCGCCGGCAGAACGGTTTTCAAACTGGGGGGGGGGGGGGGGGGGGGGGCATCACTAAAAAGGGGCACTTGCACATCCGCGCTGAAATGTCGACACTTTTTTAACACCGGACACTTGGCCTCAGTACAAATCAAATGGTGGTTATCATCTTCCAAAATAGAAAATAGGGGCAATCTTATGCAATCTACGCATTATGTGCCCATTTTCAGTCCGCATTGTCACGATTGTAAGGGTTTTGGGTTTGCTTTTCATATTCCTCGTTCATATCAGAACTTTCTATACCATTTTGGGAAATGGTTACTAAAAACAAATTATCCGAAATTGTACGGCTAGTTTTGTTTTCATCTCGAGGGGGTACATTTATGTTCGAGAGGCACATTTATGTCCACAAGAGGGGCACTTGGGTAAAACTGGGGGGCAAGTGCCACCACCCCCCCCCCCCGGTTCCGCCGCCCCTGCAAGAATTAAGCAACAAAACATTCGACTTGTAATAATTATTTTACACTTGGACATGTTCGCAGTAGATGGAGTATTACCAGATTAAACTCTCTATTTTTGCCAAATTCGTCTAAAAGTGTTTTGGGCCATGATTCACAGACACTTTGAGTGTCTTGAAACCTTTTTAAATCAAAAGGTTTTGATGTTCATTCATTCATAATTGTAGTATTATGTTATCTTTCTTCGAAGGGGGGATTTAAAAATAAACAAAAACAATTCTGTTTCAAAGGTTTATTTTTTATTCATCTTTCAACCCAGCGCCAACCCAGAACCTATAGTTAAAGATCGTTAGTTAAAAAGCCTGTATAATCAATATCGAAAGGAAGTGAACAGAACATATTGCATTACTTTCTGATAAGGAGTAATCATTCATACAGTCCATTGCTTTTTCCTATGTTGTAATTATCTTCTTCAAAGTGACACAACGTTTATGGTTTTACCTGAATTAAACACGGCACGCGACCAACCCATTTCTGAGTCAAACGACGGTAAATGATTTACACCACAAAGGAAGGCTGACCCTTTCTACTTCCTTCCAACTCTTCGCCGAAAGTGTGATTGATTGTAGGTTATATTTAGAGGTTTGATGTCAGATCACATGCAATTTATCTAAGTGTCTGACTTTCCAAATTGTGTTGTTTTTCAAATAGCTGTCCGGTTTCCGCTCTCAAATTAAACCTGACGGATGAGCGATCGATGATGATGACAATAAATCTCTTCATGAAAGTTTGCTTTAAGGGATTGGATTCATCTGTCATGTATATTGGTTCCTTGTGTGTCCTTGTCGCTCCGCTATCCAAGCAAACATGTCAGATATTTAATATAAGATATTTCATTACGAAATTTGCTGAGAAACAGTCCTAGCAATTGTGTACCTTGTTCCAGGCTATCTGCTTCCCATCAAATCAGCGAAATTGCACATGCTCCCAAAAAGGGGATCTCGGGACGTGTTCCATTGACCATTTTGGATCGAGCATTGGAAGCGAGGTGCTCAGTGCTAAGCCAGTGTATAAATTGAGGACCTTTTTTTATAATGTAGTGAATTATAGCTCTTTAATGATTACCGTTCATGGTGAAAAGAAGTCTTTAAACAAAATCGCAAAAATAGTGTTATTATGCTAATTTTATTACAAGTCACCAAAATCACTGTTGCCCACGCGAGTCTATTGTAGTGTTTTTGTCTTCAAATCAAGCCCTGCAGCTCAGTAAAGCGGATTGAATAAAGCCGTCCGTGGACAAACAGGTTTAGCACATGGAATTTTTAAACTACCACATGTCAGAGACAAAATGTACATTTGCAATCATTTTTTCGTCACTGAGTTTAAAAGATCAATATTTTAATACCGTTAAATTGAGTTTTGGAAGTATGCACCGACTTGTATTGAGCACATGACAATTTCGAGATTTGAAGCAGTTAGGATCGACTGGACGATCTTTAACAATGATCGTCTGTTGCAGTCGTTCAGGATGACTCCAGAGTCTCGAGAACGGAAAACTATGAAGTTTGCTAGACTGAAACCAAAATCTCTGTACAGGTACAACGAAATGTGTGATAAAACGAAATAGTTTGATGATGAGAATGGGTGTACGTATACGGTAAGCAAATACTCGTGGGGAGATTGAAAACAATAACAAATTGAAAGCGTTTGAAAGCCTCTCCAATGTATATCACACCAGTATACCTTTTTGTACAAATAGTTCATTAGCATGCAAATTTTGAAATGGCTGATTTATATCAGTAAAGCACCTGCAATTTATCCCTTGCAAACGTGTGATAGACCGTTATATTTAGAGTGTATTTTTGCTGGTATTTACTCTGTGGTTCGTAAGTATATACAGAGATACTTTTCTGTAAACATCGAACAGACGAGAGGAGTTCAAACGTACAAGTGTACTTGGGATATGAGTGTTAAGTATATAGCGAATTTGTTTGTTTGAAACACCTGACGTATAACGAGTGCGATTGTAATTTCCAACATAAGCCGAAAAATGGAGGGTTTCTATTAAATTCACAGATCGTTTTTTAAATAATTTTTTTTATTAAAGCAGAAAAGAAGTACGCATGGGGTATTAAAAGCAAACTCAAAACTTCCCTTTTAGTGGGGCGTATTTGTAACATTTCTACAGTGAATAATTCTGTACGAATTTCTAATCACACATTAAACTCCTAGCATCCCATATACCCAACTGCCAGATAATCACCAGTTGAAACAAAGACTTACCGCCTCCGGAAAACACGGGTGTGCAGTGCCATAAATGTAGAGCCACACCCAGTAGCATAAATGGCCACACCCATCCCATCTTCAAAGGCAAACGGTTCTTAACGACTGTTACCTGAACAGAAAGTTGAAACTTACGTCATGTCATCTAATAGAGTACGATAGTTTGCCTTCCATTCAAATATAATACATTTCCTTTGAACGCAAATTAATTTCACAAAACCCACAATATATTTTTCGAGAAATGATCATACATAATTTTATGAATGCATTTTTTCTTTAGTTAAAATATCTTTCGAGTAGAAACCATTTTATTAACTACAATTAGGCAATTGATTTATAATTAAAAGACCATGTGATGTGCGCGTTCTTCTAACATTCTAAATAAAAAGAAACCTCAATTGTGGAAACGAAAATGAAACCGATCTCGTGTTTGTGTGTACACAGTATATGCATGGAATGGATGTCATTTGGTGTTCCAGATTGGGTACAATAACGTGTATATGCCTAACCAATTAAGCTGTGGACTTTTCATATAACGTGTACCGTACTTTTTTCCATCCCGAAAAAAAATACATTTGTAATTGTAAATTGCTTTTTGTTTCTAGCAATAGACCGTTTGCACTGCATCCATCTTGAACGTTTGTGCTTTTGTTCAACAGGGAAAGGCACGAGTAGACCTTTTGTGCAGTCATTATTTTCGAATTATAGGCTTTTCCCGGCCAATATCACAAAGTTTTCATTCAATTTAACGCCTGGCTCATTCAATTAAGATTGAAATTGAAAGATCACGCGATTAAAAAAGAATCATGATTCAATTTTACTATCCGAGCATTCTATCTTCTGTTAGCAGTTAGACGTACCTGTAAAAGATGCATTCAAATTAAAAGTATCGCACCGTTCATTCAATTTCGTCTGAACCAGCAGTAAAGGGGTAGATTGGTCATTCAGTTTCATTAAAGAGCAAACCAAAGGGTTTTCAATATTTCCACTTCTTTCGTTTTTCTAACAGAATATAGATTAAATAATAAAAATCAATTTAGTTTAGAAGAATAAAGCAAGAAATATGTATTCTAGAGCCACTTTCTTTCACATTTCACATTTTGTCCAAGGGGGTCGCACCATCTTCTGATAGGATGCATCGTTAAAATCGAACAATCATGGACACTTTCGCTCTTCATCCCAGGAAATGTTTTGACGGACACACGATTTTGCCGACGGACCGATTTCACGGTCCCGATTTTTGGCTCCTATCAACGCGCTGAGCGTCCCGATTTCGCTTTCAAATCTCCAGCTGAAGCAATCTGGCACTCTGCAAACCCACCCACCCTTCCCCCACACATAGGCATAAAAGTGGGGTACTTCCTTTGTTCTCGTGTACTAAAATTTTGCAATGTCGCACACTAATTTCAAAATGCTCTTATTTTAACCAGAATTATCTTCGTGGGCTGAAATTCGGACTTAATATCCCTTTTCTAAAACCCTTCCATTTGAAACGGGTCAACCCATCTTGGAAATTCCTAGTTTTTGAGTAAAATCCATAATATCTATTTTGTGAAAAACTTGTGGGGTACCAAAACGGTCCCCGCAAGTCGGTGGGCAAACTGGGCATTCCTGGTGGGGTACCTCCCATTGTTCAGGTACCCCATAATATAAGGCAGTGTTTGTTTATACGTTCACACCCGGTTACGCCACCGTGTCTTGCGTCAATAGATGGATTGATTAATCAGCGATAAATAACAAAAATGACCACACAAAAAAAGTAAACAAAGTTACAGGATTAACATGTCAACATCATCATGCCCTTAATTACACAATTCTTAGCCATTTTCATTTTATTATTTCGTTACACCATCTATCCCTCATATCAGTGAATTTGTTTCATTATAAATTTCACGGAAACAAAGATTTTGAGAAATAGTTGATCTTCACAAGCAATAGGAAAAATATCAATTAAACAATTTGAATAATATGAATGACTGACCAATGAAACGGGTTGCCCATAAACGAATAAAAAAGGAAAAACATGGTCATACGTCATATTCATATGCTCAGCGACTTTCGCTATAGTTTGAATACATCAACCGTCAAAAGATGTTTAAAACGTAATGTAAGAATGCTACAAATTAAGTCATAAATGCATCAAAAGAAATATAGAATGCCCCAAACAAAAAGAACATTAGATATAAAAATTGTCTTCTTTATTTTGTTTACCCAACAGTTAACACTAAGAGATTTATTATTTCGCCACGTTAATATAAATCCCTATTCCAATGACTTACCTGATATCCATAACAAACTTACCAGAGAAATGGTATATTGAGAACCTTTGGGATTTGTTTAAATGCGTCACGTCAGGCAATCCTCTGCCCTATGATTTTCCGAACACCACTTGTTTGACTTTCGGACTTCATTTCATGTCATGTCACTACACAGTAACTTCTGCATGGTTCCAATAACATGCTGTTACAGTCGTATAGTAGTTTAAGAACAAGAAAAGTAGGCTACGCCACGCGAAGCTTAGAGGAAAATTGGGTATTTTGTTATGCGTAGGACCTGCCACATTCCTTGCACGCCCAGCCAATCTTAATCCAACTGTTGTTATAAGACTTAAATCCTAAGCTAAAAAATGTCAAATGCCGAGAGAAATGTGTCCTTTTTGCCTCCATCTGCCCAGCCCGGGCAAAGATGCTTCAGAGGCGCTTGGCGTGTAGGCCTTTTTCTACGCAAAAGTGCAGGCAAAAACTAAATTTACAACTCCAAATATATGTTTCAGAAGAATGCACCGTAAAAATTACCGCTGTCATGATTTGTCACCATTCATTTCGTTCACAGCGATAAGTCCAGGATATGTTTCTTACCTAAATACGTTGGTTTACGTGATCGCGAAGCCGTCGGTAGCAAACACCATGCCATCAAGCACGCATTACCAAAAATGATGCATGCACAACTGATGATAGCTCATAGTTTACCCGTCGCTTTCGTCACGGCCGTTGTAGGTGGCAATGCGCTATCGCCGCCCAGTGAATGATTAATATTGTCAGTCGGCCCAAGTCAGTGCATTTGTTATACAATAACAAGTGCACGGATGCCGTGATGTTATCACGACATCCTAAAGTCGAGTGCGAAATCGACATCTTTACCATAATGCAAATTGCACCATAAATGTGGAATTTCACACAGTGTAGACCAATCTGGGCACGCTATCAATACTATCACGAAGCCTCTTCTCCCTTCAATTGGGAAGGCACTGTGCTCATTTTGTTCAAATAGTCTGTCACGGGGCAATGCAGTCGCTTTGTACAATAGTGTGCAAAATTGTTTCTCCATTGAAGAGGGCCTCGTGAGTGAACAGTGTACAATTTTTGCTTAGAAATTAAAGGAATAAGGATGGAATGATACCTAGTCTGATTTGTTTTATTTCCCAATTCCGTGCAGTCGACTGATATTTTCAACATGATTTCTCGATTATATTTTAAAGTGCCCAGTGAACCCTTTGCATGATGTCACAATTATCTTGTTCATGAAACGAAGTTTTAGGCCTGTATCAGATTCAAGAGATCCATGGATTCTATCCATCTTCCAGTTCAATATGACAAACCTCGGATTTGTTTTCCTCGTTCCGTTATCGCTGTGAAATCGAGGCCAGAAAATAATGTAATAGTCCTTTGACTTTCGTTGAGTGCAATGTCCGCGTTTGCTTAGCAACGGGTAGGCTTGGTGATGAACTGAAAACATTTTTTTCGGCGAGAATTCATTTATTGCCTTCCTGCTGTGTTACGAAGTTTAATGATTATACTGGAAGATGACAAAGTAAAATGACTGATGCTTTGTTTACACACGTACTGCCAACAAATATTACTGCAATGGTTGCAATTATAAACTGAACAGTTTGCTGAAAACATATGTCCTTATTATCAATTGTTTATTATAAACCAATCTTCAAAGTATTATGTCAACCTGCGTGCGTGGGTGTTTCGTAAAGCCAATCTGAAAGCTTTTACTCCATGAAATCTGCAGCTGCATGCAGCTCCAGTAATTGTTTACTTTTTATTTTACAAAATATACAGGGCTATTTGTCTTCCCTGGTTGGAAAAAAACACAGTTTTCGCGTTGCGATGGTAACTGAGTGCATCTAACGTTAGGCTAATTATTGTTTGCCACAGCCGTCCGATTTTACATATGACCGAACAGTTTGTTGCGCCATACGGGCAGAAAGTCGTATATGTGCATCCATAAATCACTCATTTGAGTAATTAATTGGTTATAGGACGACCGATGTCAAGCCATTGAAAGCTAATCCTGCATTAGGCCTAATCACTCAGTTATTTCTACATGCATGCCAAAATCGATCCGCAATTGGTTTACTCAAGTTGAAGACAGGACTAATGGATAGGACAACTGACCTGTTTTATCCTTGATGCACACAAAGCCGACACAATGTGCAAGCAATAGTATGAAACCTAGGGGTATCCGACATACTCTAAAAGTCCAGCCCGTTGTCTGCACGTCTTCTTATTTTGGTCTGTACAAATCTATGCCAGTGGCTTGTATTAAGCAAGTCTAACATAATATTAAAAATGAATGCCTTCAACTGCCTTTTAAGGCATATACGAGCTTATTTTATGAATATTGACTACCTCCCCCTCCGCGCCTGTGTTTCTGGCAGTGGCTGATTAATATGCACCGCAGTACCTTGTTAACACTTATAAGATGCTACATCAAAAAGTCTCATCATTCAAATACTTCATATTTACCTCAGTGTATTTAAAATATAAATTCATATTACTTAGCGCCTTGAGTACCTGTTGGTAGATACGTGCACTATCAGGGGCGGCGGAACCGAAGGGGCAGGGGGCACTCCCCCCCCCCCCCCCTGATTTACCCAAGTGCCCCTCTTGAGGACATAAATGTGCCCCCTTTGAGCATTAATGTGCCCCCTCGAGAAGAAATCAAAACTGGTCCTAAAATTTTGGATTTTTTTTTAACGTATACCATTTCCCCAAATCATAATCGTGTGGAGAGTTCTGATATACGAGGAATATAAATGTCAAGCCCCAGAACCCCAACAATGCGCCCTGAAAATGGGCACATGACATAATTAGTAATTTGCATAATGGCCGGTTTTGAAGAGCGCCCCTATTTTGGAAGATGGTACCAGCCCCCCCCCCTCCCCCTCCCCCCACACACACACAATATTTGATTTTACGAAGGCCCCACCCCCTTTATTTGATTTTACGAAGGCCAAGTGTCCGGTGAAAAAACGGGTCGACATTTCAGCTAGGAATGTGCCAAAAAAACTTTAGCAAGTGCCCCTTTTTGGTGATCCTCCCTCCCCAGTTTCAAAACCGTTACGGCGGGTATAAGTCTCCGGTTTTATTAGGTGATGGGCTATGAGCCCAAAACCTATTGTTATTGTAAGAATTTACTTTTCTTGTTATTCTTCTCATCAAATTCTTCCACATATCTGTTTGTCAAAATGTAAACATATATGAACTTCAATTGTCAATACATGAATGCACAACCAACTGAAATTTTGCTTTTTTGTAAATACGTCGTGATGACGTAATCACGGGTCAGGTGACGTCACCTGAACGATTAATAAATGTAAGGCCAAAAAAAAATAAGTCGGTCCCTGGTCAGCGCGCGCGTCGATTTTAATCATGCGCGTCAATCTTTTTTTTTTCCAAAATGTTCCGCGGTAGCTAGGCAAATTATGGAGGACACCAATGTACATGGGAACACCAAAAAAGCAAAATAGTACCCCACCTTGTCTGTACAATCCAAGCTTGAAGAAAAAAAAAAAAAGCCGCGTCCCCGCGTCAATTCCGGAACTTTGGTCTGACCAGAGACCGAATTTTTTTTTTTTTGCCTAATCTTTGAAATTCAATATAAAATCAACCGTGAGAGACCGGAACATAAATTTTGCGGAAATCGATATAATAATTCACGATCATCATTTTATCTAGTTTGCGTCAAATCACGTGACCCTTCCTTCCGGTCAAACCGGATGTGCCTAATAATTTGAAAGTGGGAAAAGATATGAACTTGCTTTCAACGATGTGAGTCTCTGGCGATGTTGAACTTTAAAAAAAATCATCGATTACGTCATGGGATTTTCGAGCGCCCTCTAGCGGCAGGTTGAACAAGTCACAAACGCATATTCATTTGACATGTGACGAAATTTGCGGTAATCGCTTCAAAATTGATATGTATGATGGATTGTGCGCAAAAAAATATGACGTCATCAGACCGAAAGTTACAATGAAAAGACCTTTAGAAAATTTCAAAAAAATTAACCGTTATAGCAGTTAACATAGCTTTTGAGCTTTCTGGTAATGATGATGACGGTATGAAGTATATATTACGAGCAAATACAACATTGTAGATTTAATCCTTGAAAGTTAAGTGTATACTCAACTGTTGGAGATTTCATTTTTTTTATGGCAATCGATACAATATTGCAGGGTCTTTATTTTTGGTATAAAGTGCAAAACCACGTGACCCTTCGTTCCGGTCGAAACCGGAAGTGCCTTATAATTTGAGATTGGCAAATGGGGACTCCGACTAGGCTGTTTTTTTGCGAAAAAAAACTATTACAGGTGACGTCAACAAATAAGAGAACATCCCGAGGCGGCATGTTTTAACAAGTCAAACATGCATAGACCGGAAGTGCCTTATAATTTTAAATTGGCAACAGCTAAATGTCAAGGGCGGATCCAGAACACAATTTTTTGGGGGGCCAAAAAAATTTTGGTCGCCCAAAAAGTGGGTTAAAAAAATTACAGCGTTGGGTTCGGGGCCCGCTTAAGGGCCCCGAAAACTTTTTGGATTCTAGATGCTCTGTGGTGCGATCTGGGGCAATTTCTGACCACTTTAACCAATGTTTTTTTGAGGAAAAGATGGTGGTGTGCTCATTGCCTGACTTTATTGCAATGTCACATAAAAAAAGAAAAATGTTTTTTTTGGGGGGGGGGGGGGGGTGGCCATGGCCCCCTTTGGCCCCCTGGATCCGCCCTTGCTAGATGTGAACTTGCGTTAATCGATGTGAGTCTCAAAATAATATAATTTAAAAATTGGCAAAAGATGTGCACTTGCTTTCAACGATGTGGGACTCCGACTAGGTTTTTTTTTTCCAAAAAAAAAATACAGGTGAAGTCATAAAATGTTAGAGCGCCCTCTAACGGCATGATGACAAAGTAAAACATGCGTTTAAACATGCCTTTTGAGTTGATGTGTGTGGCGAAGTTTCCAGTTCCCATCACCGTGTGGTTATTTCTACAACCTCTAGTTTTTATTATTATTATTTTTCGGGTTAAATGCGTGCATACTATTTCAGTGGCGTAGACACGGGGGGGGGGGGGGGTGGAAGGGGTCTGGCGGAGGGGGGGGGGGGGTTGGCACGTGCCCCCCCCCCACAAATTGTCCGTGCAAATTGTAAATTGCTTTAAATGATAATCCTAATTTTCTATCAAAAGAAAGGGACTCAAAAAAAATACGATATTAGACGTATTTTGTTGGCATAAACTGGTTGGACGCCTACAGTTTGTTTGAGCCACTCATTCCAGGAATTTGCTGGTCATAGTCAAAGAAAAGAGAGGATTAGAAGGAGTATGTCCAGTACGTACGCCCATATATTAAAAAATGACAATATCAATATTAAAAAATGACATTGCTACGCCACTTGCATTGCGATGTGTCTGGCTTTGCCACAGACACGTCGCGCAATGCAAGTGGCGTAGCAAGGTCAGTTTTATATGGGCCGATCATAAAACTAGTAATCCCGCTGGCGTGGGACAGTGACACAAAAAGATTTGTCCCAAGGCTATTATGTACCGACCCGATGTCCAAACACTTTTAAGTTCGCACAAGGTCAGTGTGAGGTCAGTTTCTAACAATCAAGATACAGACCGCACTGATTTTTCCTGGTCCCGGGCCACGTACAAACACGTGTGAGGTAGTCTGCGAGACGGTGTGCTTACACAATGCCCAGTCAAGGCCGAAGATTAAATGATAAGAGTGCAGGCATAGCAGTTTTAAGAGGAGCATTTTTACTATGGAAGGAATTGAATAGTGTATCGAACAGTTTAAAAGGCGTTGAGGTTTGTCGTGCCCTGAATTGGTGACATTTTGACGCAATGGGGATATGTTCAAGGCGCAGTTCCATGGAGGAGACCACCAAAGAATTCAACTCCAACGGCTGCTTCATCCTACTGATGTCGTTCAGCGTCGTTGCGCAGTGGGGAGGTGTGTTTAAGAGTCTGGGAGTGCTTCTTCCCGCGTTGACTGATCAGTTTACCGACCACGTCTGGTTGACCGGAATAGCCGTATCGGTCATGGCAGTATCAGTCGACATAGCTGGTAACTAACTTGATGACTATTTTGAGCCAGATGGCACGTACTTTTTGTAGCTTCTAAGATCTCTGCCTTAAATATTAACAAGCTGATTTACCCGATCATAGATCAGGTTGGGCGTAGTGTTGGGGATGAAAATGTGGAGAGTTAAATGCACATGGGGGATTTAGTTGAGTAGACATGCAGTTATAGAAAGGCAATTTCTGACCACTAAAACCACTTTTTTAAGCAAAAGATAATCTTTTAAACATCATTTTTGAGTTTGGAGTCATTGAATCAGCTATTCTGAGCAATATAATCATTATAGTAGGCAAACATTTGTATTCTGTGAAGAAAAAGTGTGTGTGTGTGTGGGGGGGGGGGGGGGGGGGGGGGGAGGCGGGACCAAACAATGTCCCCCGCTTCAAAATGTGTGGGTGTACATGTACATGTGCGTGTACAAACACTGCCTTGTGGGGTACCGGAACAATGGGAGGTACCCCACAAGGAATGCCCGCCGACTTGCGGGGTACCGTTTTGGTACCCCGCAAGTTTTTCACGAAATAGATATATGGATTTTACTCAAAAACTAGGAATTTCCAGGGTGGGTTGATTGGTCGCAAGTGGAAGAGTTTTAGAAGAGGGATATTAAGTCCGAATTTCAGCCCAGGAAATTAACTATGGTTAAAATAAGAGCATTTTGACATCAGTGTGCGACGTTGCAAAATTTTAGTACACGAGAACAAAGGAAGTGCCTATGTAAGCGTGAGTATGTAAACACCGACAATCGTGGACGTAGGACAAAAGAATTGGGGCGCAAACAATGACGTTCACGATTGACCGAACGTCCACGATCTCAAATCGTTTACAAAACCAATGAGAGCTGTCGCTAAAAACTTAGTGTACAAACAAAGGAAAGAAGATTAGGGACAATGGGGCGTCCACGATTGCCGGCATTTACACACGTGTGTCTTTGTGTGTGTGTGTGTGGGGGGGGGGGGGGGGTTGTTCCCCGTCCCCCACCGATTGCGCCCATTGGAAACAAACGTAAACTTGAACTTCTTACAATTTTTTGCAATAGCACTCTATCATGTCACATTCTTGTACTTAACATAGCGAGCCTCTACCGTAGACCCAACCTCGTTTCCAGGGTGTCGAGCAGGCTGCAGTACGCGTTGACATCGACGGTTTTACGCGTAGCCCAGAAATACGCAGTGCAGACTTTAGATTGGTCCGATGCAGACCGCGCAAGGTATACTAATGGGTGGTCCTTGTAAGCATCAGAATGTTTATGTTGACTTTTATGCCGCATAATTGTGATAAAGAACGTTTGTACGGCAACCTTGGCTGTATTGATACAGTCAGTGTTTTAAAGTTTTATAATTTAATAGAAACACGTTTGTACACAGTAAAGTTAACTGACTCGCTTTTGCCTGTTTCTCCAACTTGCCGAAATAGCCTTTAATTGTTTTCGTTAGGTTTTTATTTGTTCATGGCTGTTAAGGCAACTTGCCGAAAACGCCAAACCGCCTTTGTATTCGTTAAAATTTTTCTTTCTTTCTTTTCTTCTCAGACTCCTGCCAAATCGTTTGTTCACGTTTTCGTCTTTCATGGCACTTTGGGCACTGACATCCATCCGAAAATTGACGTCATCATGACGTCATCACGTGCCATTTAAGATCACGTTAGAGGTGCATAATTTATAGGCTTATATCTACAGAACTACAGGTCCAATTGGGTTGAAACTTGGCATGAAATTAGACAGTAATGTGTTATAGATGAAAATTGAGGTGACGTCATGATGATGTTATCGCATGTCATGTGACGTCACATTAAAAGTGCATTTTTCTAAGGTCTATATCTACAGAACTATAGGTCTTATGGTTGTAACTGGGTGTGTATCTAAACCGGAATGTGTTTGACGTCCTGATGAAGTCACTTGCAAGGTACTATTTCAAAAGCCTATACATGTATCTACATAAGTATCAAGGTTCATGACTTGTGTCATTGACGCAACATTGATGTTGCATTTTAACGGTGTGCTTTATTAGGAACTACACACCTCGTCGCTCTGCAACACTCGACTGCACATGTATGTCTTATCAGTCTATTACATGACATGAACATGCAAAAACTATCAGTCTATAACGTGACTTAACATTAGCAAGATGCTGAAACAGCTAGGTGTTTGTCCAAAAACATAATTCTCGTTTTTCTTGACATTCCGATCAACTTCGTTGCCCTTCATCAAAGGTTGTTACCGTTACTCTCTGGCTGTAAGTTGGCGCGAGCACAACAGTCCAACATGTACGTGACTCAGCATGTAGCCCCCCCCCCAACCCACCCCGTGTCTGTCATGACCTCTGTCGTCCTAATCCAGATTGCTTCTATCACCATCTTGTAAATCGAACTGTTTCTTTTTGTCCAAGTTTTTGCTGTTGTACCAATCAATAATATTGTGCAAGTTTCCTGAGCTACTTGATCTGAACATTATTGCCGATTTATTTGCAGTCTGCCTTTGAAGCTTTCCTTTGGGCTCCTGTGTAAATTTTTCCTATGAGACACTGTTTCTACATCTTTTTAATGTTCTTTAAGTTTCACCTCAAATGTTCTGCCCGGCTTCCCCATGTGCACGTTTCACTGTCTGACTAGTGCCATCTAACGGTCAGACGTGTAACAACCTCTGATGAAAGGCCACGGTGTTGCTCGAAATGTCAAAAAAGGAAGTTTGATTGTGTAAAAATAACGTGTTTCTATTTAATTATACATCATTCACAATCAGATGAACCTGATCAAAGACGATTTATGTGTGACCGATTAGCCAGAAGACACGTTTCAAGGCCTTTACGAAAGGCCTGTTTGTAAAATTACGTTGTGGTTTGAGCCGAAAAACAAGAGGCTATACGTTGTTAGGGCGCACTCGTTGTGGAGTGTCATGGCCGAGCGGTTAAGAGCACTGCGCAATAGTCGTAGCCTTGTTGCCATTTTGTGATGGTCAATTAACGACGTTGAAGTACATGTACGCAAGTACGTACGGTACCATGTACACGTACGGGCGCCGCATGTACATGTTCATCGTACAAGGCCAGATTCTGCAGGTTTTTTGTGACACATTTCGTTCACATAATGATACAGAAAGGGGGAAAAGAAAAATCATTTCACAAAACCCTACTGTGTATATATCTCGATTTTTAAATGAACATTGCAAGCTATCTGCAATGATTCGTTGGACATTAATTTTGTGCATAAACTTTGGGAATGGAAGAATTACTTCTCACTTTGAAAAGAAACTTATATTATTCATCTATATTCATGCTTTCTTTAAAAAAAAATACTTTATGAATGTAAATTAAGAATTTTATGTACATATTATGCGTATTAAATTGACCCCTGCTTTTCCCTTCAATCATTGTTTTAATTTAATAAAAAAATACCTCCCTAATATCTAAAAAGGACTGATAATGCGACCGGAAGAATTACTTAACACTCCAAGTGCGGGACGGATCCCAGGTGCGTAAGCAGCATTACTTGCGACCGCTTGCAGCTACTTGCAATGGAAATACGAAGACACCATCAAACGAACGTCGTCCATTGTCCAATCACAAAATGGCAACTAGGCTACGACTATTGCGCAGTTTAAGAGCACTGGACTCAACCTCTGGTGTTTCTGATCAGCAGAGCGTGGGTTCGAGTCCCTGTCTTGACACTTGCGGTCCTAAGCAAGACACCTGAGTATTATTGCTTCGGATGGGACGTAAAGCCGTAGGTTCCGTGCGATGTGTGATGCACGTAAAAGAACCCAGTAGCACTATCGCTACTAGAGAAGGGGTTTCCGACGTTTCTGGCAGTGGCTGCTTGATGCGCCGCAGCACCTTGTAAACTATTTAAGGTGCTGCATAAAATAAGTCTCATATTTTCAAATACTTCATTTACCTGTCTTTAAAATTTAAATTAATATTAATATTCGCCCTGAGTACCTAATTGTTGGTAGATACGTGCGCTATATAAGACTCTGGTAGTACTTTTCTTTTTATCTTTCATTTCGATTTAAATGCGTGTATACTATTTCCGTCTTGTAGTCTTTTCATTATGAAGGTAGTTGTTACATAACCTTTTAGAATTCTTCCATCCACATGTTTTTCAGCTCTGTTCAGCACACTCTTTGAAGACAAGTTCGGCAGTCGACGGATGATAATTCTGAGCACGCTCATGGTTGGTGTGGGATTAGTGCTGGTTCCACTAGCTACGAGTATCATACACATCGCTGTTATTTTAGCCGTCGTTGTTGGTAAGAACTTGTGAAGACACACCAAATGCTGCTATAGTTAGTAAAACAGCTAATCCAAGGGTGCGTGCACAAAAACAATAAAACATCGCAAACATCAAAAAAATATCAGGTGTTGTATTACGTTCTGCTATACTCGGGTTCATATTTTTCGTACTTCTGAAAGAAAATACTTGTACCAATACTTGTACTCGTTGCAAAGTACAGTACGTGTGCCCATGAAAGTTCTTCGTCGGAGGTAATTAATATGCAAAATAATGCAACGAAGTTTATGAAGTAAACAGTCAACAATTGTTGACTGCTGTGATGTTTGACATGCCGTTTTTAAGTACCCTGTTCGCCTCCGGTGCTATGACCCATGAGTGGATTAAATAAAACATATCCCACATCACGGCAGTCAACAATTGTTTTGTTATATCGTGCCAACATGTCAAAAAGGTAAATGGTTGAAACTTTCTATGCAAAAGTGAAATGAAATCACTGCGATGTAACCTTTGATAACTGCACGCTTTCCTGCCGGACATGAGACTAAGCGGTTGCACTTCTCAGTCACGAGCGCGCGCGGGAACAGGCCGTTCACGCACGCGCAACATGCGCAATTTACATGCAGCACAGTGTATATTGAAGATTTATTTATGAAACGCATTGTATATGAAGTAGTTATTGACTAGACACGTTGCAGTTCTAGACCATTGAAATTGCAGTTTCCAGCACACGATATAACAATCATTTGTATCGACTGGACGTGTGACACTTTTGAGACCAATGGAATCCAAGACACGATGTAGTGAATGTATTTACCATTTTTTCTTTATTGTTAGACCTTTATTTCTTTCTACTCCTATTTTATTTTCCCACCTTGTTTCAGGCCCAGGCGTGGGGATCGGCATTGTTCTAAGTAAGGCTACTCTGGGACGTTCCTTCAGTAAGCGGTACAGTCTGGCCAGTGGAATAAGCCACACGGGACAAGTACTCTCTTTGCTTGCTTTTGCACCAATGGTGCAGCTTTTTCTCGATACCTATGGCTGGAGAGGAGCCACCTTGCTTCTTGCCGGGGTTTGCTTTCATCCAGCAGTCTGTGCTATACTTGCCAGAGAAAAACAACCACATTACGAGCTACCAGTTGATCAACATGACCAGCAGGAACCAAACAGCACCTGTAGGGTCTGCCTCAGATCTTGTTTCACTCGTGCATTGTCAACTCTGGATCTCCGAATACTTCTTCGGTTTAATTTCTGGGTAGTTTTCAGTTGCATGTTTGGGATTCGTTTCGTAAATACCGCTTGGTTCCTGTTTTACGTTTCTAATCTTCAATCCAAGGGTTTCTCACCCCAAGCGTCTGCTGCGATATGCTCGGCTTCGGGCGTCGGTTATTTTTTCGGATGCGTCCTGTTTGCGCCTTTTGTTGATAGAGGCCTCGTGAAGTGTTCGACAACAGTGATAATAAGCAGCCTGGCACTGAGTCTGTCGCTTGTCTTAGATCCATGGTTAAAGGACACACTGAGTGTGACCGTATTGACCGTTTTATACGGTCTGTCCTCATCATCGCTGTTTACCTTAATTGATGTGCTTACCAAGGAACTATTAGGTAGAGACAGACTGACAAGTGCGTTCTCGTGGATTGGATTTCTTGGAATGCTGGCAAACGTCCTCGGGGGATTTTTACCAGGTAAGCACACATCTTAATATAAAGAACTTATAAAATTTAAGTATCCTCTCAAAGTCCTGAAAAAAAAAACAACCGTGCATGTTGCAGGGAATGTCTACGAAACGATAGACACGAACCGTCGGGAACCATAGTCATGCGCTTTAGTTCGCACGTATCATAGATGCTATCTAGACACGTATGCCGCTAGACTTGGCCCAACTCGAGTGCTTGGTCTGGCAGTATGTATACACTTACACAGCCCACTATATATCAGGACCATTATTAGAAACGGTACGCATACGGGATACGTATATGCGGCTTGGAAAAAGTTTCTTGTGAAATTACCATTTTGCATGGTTATTTCATCTGACACATTATATGGGCAATTTACATTTCACATCAAAACGTTAAGATATATATGTGGGTTTGTAAATAACCACCCCAGCTAACACATCACGTTGCCACAACGATGTGCAAAGTTGTGAAAATGTTGCCATTTGGTAATGTATCACGACGACGTTAAAGCAACGTTGCTACAGCGTTTGACTGTATATTTGTTGGTTGTAAAAATGGTGCGTATCGGTAACGTTTGACATCGTAGTATGAAAGTCATCATATGACATTGTATTCACGTTGTATGGTGGTCGTTTCACAACGTTGTAATAAAGTAATAAACATGACGTTGTGGTTACGTTGTATGTAGGTGTTTTCATAACGTTGTTTTTGTGTTGTCAATATTACGTTGTCAGATGTAATTTAGAATGTTCACGACGTTGCCGCGAGGTTGTAATCATGACGTTGTGATATCGTTGCATGTAGGTTGTTTAATAACGTTGTTTTCAGTTGTGAAAAAAACGTTGTTACGAATTTGTAGTTTGGTATTTCACAACCTTGCTGTGATGTTAAAATCATAACGTTTTTCCAACATTGAATGTGGGTTAATCTCTCGTTGTCATGACGTTGTATATAAGAATTTACACTAAATTGCTGTGATGTTCCATTCATGACGTTATGATGACGTTGCATAAAGGTATTATCATAATGGTGCTGTTAAGCTGTAAATATCATGTTGTCGTGACATTGTATCTTGGTATTTTTACAGCATTGCTGTGATGTTGTGATCCCGACGTTGCTGTAACGTTTGTGCTTTGACAATATATAAGTTGCAATTATGCTGTGCAAATCACGTTGTTGTTACGAGCCATGCTTTTATAGTGTTGATAATTGTGTTCTGAACAAACGTTAATTGTGATACGATGTACTGAATGTTAAAATCACTAAGACTGTTTTTTCAAGGGACGAAAACAAATCACATAGGGATGTTTTCGGTTTGCTGAAAGAACGCACACCTTGTTTTGTGATCCGTCGACAGAACTTCAAAACGGTGGTTGTGTTTAAAATTCCGCAGCTTGAAAAGTACATGAATCATTAGAATGATTCTTGTACTAAAAGAAAGTTTATGAATCGGGCATTCATATCGTAGATTTAAAAAGTGCTACATGCAGAACTTCACTAAAACAATAGTCCTGACATTTGGTTTTTTTTTGCACACCCTAGTTGTAGTAAGATTATTTCGATACATGAAAAAGATCCACTACTTGGAACCTTATACCGGCAAGAGTCCGGTAGTCTCCTGATGACGAACAGATCACACTGTTCACAACGTTGAGTTATAACAACGGGTTCTTCTAAGACCGACTTAACTCAAAATAGATAATATGCACATGGTGTTAGGCCTACCCCAAACCTTCCATACTTTGTTCATGTCCACAATGCAAACCTACAAGTCTCATGAAAAATGTTGACAGGTTTAACGAAAGTGCACAAATATGTAAATTAACAGCCCAGTGTAACAATGTTTATGTATGTGCACGAAATTTGTTATTTTTAAAATAATTTTTATCTTTCATTATACCCGAACTTGAGCAGGAATTAAGCTGGGATTGACTTTCCGCTTCCCAAGGCTTAGAACTCTGATAATTGAAAAAGCAACTTTGTTCTGGGGCGCATACGTTTCCTATACCCGCACCGATTCTAATGGTACCATCCGAACTCCCCCGTTACAAACACATACATTCTTTTAACAACATAATTGGCTTTGCGTTGATTTATTTATATTAACATTTTCTTGTAAAGGTTGGATATACGACACGACCGGCAGCTATGACCTGACGTTCATCATTATGGGCATTACACCAGCTGTAGCTCTCATTCCCCTGGTCATTGGAAGAATCACGAAACGGGTATGAGATATGGAAAAGGCACTGAAAATAAATTGGTTAACAAATTCTCAAATTGAAAAGGACTAAAACTGCCGCAAACTGCTTATAATATACTGACTGGATTGACGTTAAATATATTAATGAACAAAATGAGAGGGCGTAACATTTCAGATCCGAGCATGACCTTTCTGAAAGACAAAATTACAGTAGTTCACAAACAAAAAAACAAAAAAACAAAAAAACACCCCAACACCCCAACAAACAAACAAACAAACAAACAACAAACAAACAGGGGGCCGGACGAACCAAAGGAGTGTGGCAGTAGGTAGTGATCAAAGGGGATGAAGGGTTGGGGCAGGGACGGTCGTGCTGTTGGGTGATGAGGGAGAATGGGAGCGGGTGAAGAGCTAGTGGGTGATGCAGGGGAAGGACCAAAGGACTGTGGCAGTGGATTAAGTTACCGCGGAGGACAACAAAAGAGGTGATATCCCCAAGATGGTTAGCCAGAAGGATAACCTTTAACAAATGACAATCGGGGGGGGGGGGTGAAAAGATTAGTCCTTCCCTTCCTGGATGTTGAGTCCGAGTAATTGAATAGTCCGAAGACGCTTCATCCACACTTTCTCATAGCATTGTAGGCCTAATAACAGAAGCAAAAATTAGAAAAACGACAGCAGCAGCTTGTTAAGGCGTAAGGGTGGTCGAAGAATTTCGTCGTCTAATTAGCCTATGCCAAAGCTGCATCGCGCCAATGAAAATTGTTGGTGCTCATCATTAATTGATGAGGCATAGGAACCAAGTGATATCAAGCTATCAGCCCGGTTGGTTTGTAATGTCCGTTACACGCTAAAACCCGTGTCAATTAAAATTACATCTTTTAATTTTATTAATGGGGATACCAGGATAAATAGGTACGTTTTAAGACCTCGTTTTCTGATTTTTTTATCAACAGAATCGTACAGGATTAGAAAGCAAAAATAAAGGCGAAGCGAAGTCTAACATGTTATTTTATATCCAATCTATTTCCATCCTCGTCTTCATGTGAGGTAAATTATTAAATGGACAGTTTATGTCTTCAAATTGAAGGGATCTCATTCAGTCTTCTAAAGAAACAAATACTAGTAATTGCCTCTATTTGAAATTAAACTTCATACCCATTTAACTGTTTGATGAAGTTAAATGTGAATTGTTATTTGTTTTGACCTAAACTAATAACGATAATACGCAAAAAAATCATGTGACACTGGAAAATTTACACTGTCATAAATGAAAGACGAATGTGTATATTATACAGGGTGAGTAAAAAAAATGTTGGGACCATTGTTTTAGTTACCAGTGTTTTAGTGCAGTTCTGCATGTAGCACTTTCATAATATAGTTTATAAAAGCCCAATTCATAAGCTTTGTTTTAGTACAAGAATCAATCAAATCACTAATTGTTCTTTCTTCAAAACGAAAACAAATCACATAGAAATGTGTGTAAATTGTTTTCGTTTTGCTGAAAGAACGCACAATTTTAATTTTTTTTTTGGGGGGGGGATCTGTGGACAGAACTTTGAAACGGTGGTTGTGTGTTAAATTAAAAAACAAAAGGACATGAGTGATTTGAATGGTTCTTTAATGGTACTAAAAGGAAGCTCATGAATTGAGCTAGAATTTAAAGTGCTACATGCAGAACTTCAGAAAAAAAATAATCCCGACATTTGGGTTTCGTTTTTTTGTTTACTCTCCCTGTAGTAAGATTATGTTCGATACATGAAAAAAAAATTCAATTACTGGTTCTCCGCCAAGACGACCCTTTAAACAATGACTACCTTTTATTAAAAAAGTTTAAGTCTGAAACAAAGTATACACTGTAAAAACGATCTCTAAAAGTAATTTTAAAGATACCTATATCCAAATATAAATTGAACGTTTTAAGATGTGAAAATTGCAAGAAAAACTAGAGGTTCGCGTTTGTTGTTACAAACGGATAGTGGTCGGGTAGACAACTTTTTCATTAGACATTATGCAGTTAAGTTATGAATATGTTTATGTCAGAAAAAATAAGGAAACTAATTAATTAAGAACTTTAACATTTCCAGTACCAATTATTTTGTACGAAAAGAATGCGTCTTTTAGGGTATGATCAATTACAGTTAACATTTAGGTACACGTGCAAGTTATTTCTGGTTTGATGACGTCATCAGTCAAAAAAAGTGAAGGGAGGACACTTGTTTATCATTAAGTAAAAATAATGCATGGAAATATGGAAATTAAGTGCATGTAATAATAACACCCGGCTTCTGGTTAGATGACGTCACAGTATATGGAAGCAAAAGGTCAATATTAAGTGTAACAGATATCGTTTTGGGGCCAAAAAACAAGGTCATGAGACAGGGATCATATGACAGATTTCAATTAAAACGGGATGTATAGGATCAATTTCATAAAAATTTCAATGAGGGTTTTACATTTAAAAAGATTAAAAAGTTTTTGATGTGCCGCTAGAGAGCGCCCTTTCGTGGGATGACGTCAAAATTATGTTTTTGTGTTTGGCACTCCTCACTAAACATTTCCATAATGTATTTGTCTGTAGTAAAATGCTTCCGTTTTAGAGATCAATTAAATTTCGATTGCAACACCGAGAGTGAAGGTCAAGCAGTTTTGTGCCCGGGAATAAGAAATGTTGCTCAAGGCACCGTCTACTACCTCACGAAAATATGAACACGATACTCTATTTAGTTCAAGAGATGTAGGTCAAACTATTTTGTCAAATCGTGCCCTCAAATCGCTTGTAATTTGATACGTGATGACGTCATGATGACGTAACAAGCTTTATAACATCTTCCTAACATGGTACAAGTTCACACCAGGTTTTATGATCATCCCGTAAACCGTTCGGAAGAAATTGTGCTTTGTTTTGATTTCAGGCTAATTTTTTTATCATTTTGATTTCACCTAACTTTGACCTTCCGGTAGACCCGGAAGTAAAGGTCAAGCAACTTCACGTACAGACAAAAAATGTTAATCAATTAATGGTCTATCTGATAACAGAATACAAACATCATTGGTTACTTTGTTCAAGAGTTATAGGTAAAAGTAATTGGTCACTTTTTCAGCTAGAATCGCTTGTAATTTGACACCCGATGACGTCATAATGACGTCAGAGTAATATGCACCACTCAGGATGAGGGTCGATGTATATTGAAAGTTACAAGTTCATATCATAAACCGTTAAGGAGAAAAGCCGCGGAAACGTGCAGTTACGAAAAAAGGAAAGAAAGAAATGAAGATTAATCGTAACAACTCCAAAGAGTGGTCGGGTTCTGCCCGACCACTCAATAATTACAATGGGCTAGTATAAACACATAATCGCTTTGCAGAATTTTATTAAATCTAACACAAATTACAAATTACGTCAAAGTACAACACCTTCGAGGTATCTGCAAGAAATGTGTAATTCTGTTTAGATTGTTATCCTTAATTTACTCAACCGTCACAGGCTCCTCAAATTTGACTCGAGAAGATTATTGTTTTCAGATTTAATGCGGTGGTGGGTTAAACTTTTTCTTTTTACTTTTCAAGTTAATTAATTAAAGATTTATGATTCTGGTGGAGGGTTTGATAAGATACAGTGTTTTTTCCTGAAGGATATATACTTTATATTATTTGTTGTGATATCTTGCTTAATCAGATGCAGTCATTAGTTTCCTAAAGTGCGATTAATTTCTTTTATTTCTTGTACATATTATTGTGATCTATGCAGAATGGCTTATTTGTAGAAATAAACCAATTTAAAAAAGTGCCGTCCGATTTTACAGATGACTGAACAGTCTGTTGCACCATACGGGCAGAAAGTCGTACACATGCATCCGTAAATCACTCATTTGAGTAAATAATTGGTTATAGGACGACCGATGTCAAGCCATTGAAAGCTAATCCTGCATTAGGCCTAATCACTCAGTTATTTCTACATGCATGCCAAAATCAATCCGCAATTGGTTTACTCAAGTTGAAGACAGGACTAATGGATAGGACAACTGACCTGTTTTATCCTTGATGCACACAAAGCCAACACAATGTGCACGGAATAGTATGAAACCTAGGGGTATCCGACATACTCCAAAAGTCCAGCCTGTTGTTTGCACGTCTTTAAATCAACTTATTATTTTGGTCTGTACAAATCTATGTCAGCGGCTTGTATTAAGCAAGTCTAATATAATATTTAAAAAAAAAATAGCAAAAGAAAATGACGAAAAAATATGATATTGGACATATATAAAAATGGGGACCGAGTCAAGGCCTATTAAATGCTATTTGCTGTGGAGAAAGGGTGCGTTGCAGAGTTACCGCGATCAAAATAATATCACGATCTATGAACGAGGGAAATATACTCGTCGACACTATATATTGAGATTTTATGTCAGATTGATTAACATTTAAAAATGTCGACTTTCCCACACCAGTTGACAAAATAATCTATCGATAAACGTTTTTGACTACGAGTCAGGAGATGTACGACCAATATATCTAAATACACAGATGGTGATGCTCTTGATCTGTTGTTGTTTTCTACGGATTGACTTGAAAGAGTCACTGCTGTTGGATATAGTCCAGCGGATATGTGAAAAAATTGTGCACTTTTCCATAAAAGTGTGAAACTTGGCACAGATGTTCATATTCATGCGAGAAAATGTTTTTAAAAAAGGGGGGCAGGACTCATCATGCCCGCAGTGAAAACGGTTGTTCCCCACTTCACAAAGACATAATGGCTCCACATCTGGATTTTTTCCCCTCATAAATATAAACGTCTGTGGGACGTTTTATTCGTTCATGAAATATGAGTACAATTTTTCCCAAGGTAGGCATAATATTTACCCCCCATTTTTTAAATGGCTGCCACGCCCCCAAAAAGGTACTTTTGTGGTGGCTCCGAATCTGGAAAACACTCATAGTCTATATAATTATGTCTTTGTGAAGTTTCCTGCTTTTGTAAAAGTGCACAATTCATCGATATTTTGTCACATATCCGCTGGACTAATAAAACAGTTTTCCAGAATATTTTATCATGCAAAAAACCACAAGGAGAAAAACATTTGTTTTTTGGTCGCAAATGTCTGTTCCGCCGCCAGCTACAGCGGCAAAAAGAAAATCACGCAGAAGACTCGCGTTCACAGAGAGGGGTGTTAGAGGCATTGAGAGTCCCCCAGTTACACGAGCAGCCAGTACCCTACACCTAGCATACCCCTTTGAATTTTTAAAAAAGAACCCCACTAAACGCCCTGCCCTTTGCAAATTTTAAACAGCGCTCTCTATAGTTTTTTTTTTGAGACTCAGACGTTTAAAAAATAACTTAGACTAAAAAAAAATCATATTTATATCAAATTAAAAAAAAAACTCCAATATACCTGGAGTAGGGTAAATTAGATTAAAACTTTATAAGCAATGATAACTGAAAGCAGACAATATGATCAAATGTTATTAATAAGTCTGTACGTCACAGCCAACATAGACTTGGCCAAGTCTGGGTTGCGTTCGGTCTGTATCTAAATGTGCCGTTTCGCATACGTACACTTTCACTGTACACGCTGTACCATAACGCGCCCTCATGCGTCAAAGCCAGACCAACATGCTAAAAACATATATGGACATGTTATTTTTATGTGAATTGCTAACTTTTGCACCGCA